CAGTGTATAAAGAATACAACAGGCTGGATAAAGGAACTTTGTTTGACTAGGACGTGCCTTTCATAGGAATAAGAGAGGAAAGGAATGATAAGAGGTAACTCATTCCATCTCTTGCTCCTGTGAAACCTGCCTGCCCAGAGCTTTGGTCTATGCTGCTGCCTGAGCCTGTGACCTCCATATTACACGGCACACAGGGCCGGATTTCCAACAAGGCCAACCAAGGCCCAGCCTCAGGGCAGCAGGGAGTAGAGGGACAGCAGGGGTGTTGAATTTCTATCTCCCGATGCCCCAGACATGCCGTTCTGGTTGCCGGGTGGGTAGTTGTTTTCTACATTTAACCCTGCTTTGGGCAAGCAGGGCTAAATGTACAGCGGGGAAGCCGTCACTTGTTTTGTACAAGTGATCTCTGTGATGTCACAGAGATCACTTGTATGCAGCCTGCAGGTCTGCCATTCTCCATGGGGGGGTTTGGCGGGTAGGGGGCGCATTGAGGAACCTGGCCTTGGGGCAGCAGAGAGAGTAAATCCAGCCCGGACTGCACGGCCCTGAGGAGTCTATTATAAGAACAAGCAAACACAGACCAGGAGCCTAGACAGGACATCTCACCCAGCAACCCATGGCTCTGCCAGCCTTGTGGAGCCAACTTCAAACACATGCATTGCAGGAACACGTGTTAACACAACAAATAAGTGTAAAGTAGACATGTAAGCTGCGGAAACAATCAGTTAGGTTATTTCGGGATTCGGATGCGAAATTCAAGCCAGTTCAGGTTTCGGATTAAATCTGAATTTTCGTTGGTTTGGGATGAGTTTATGAATATTCGTTGCGAATACCACAGAAAACCATATACAGATATTAATACTAAAGCTGAATCTCCGAATTTACGAATTGCATTCAGGAGCTCCCGCATGCCATTCAGGTCTGGGAGTCATATACATATATTACTAAAGCTGAGGCTCTCAGACCCAAATGGCATTCTGGAGCTCATCAATTGCAATTCGGAAATTCGGATCCCAAATGCCATTCGGGTCTGGGAGCCTCAGCTTTAGTATTATATGTATATACTGTATATGGCTGCCGTAAAGAATATTCGTGTTCAGACCAATTCGGATGCATTACACCGAAAAACACATCTGATTGGCCAGAAAATTCACATGTCCAATTCAGTTTCTTTTTGGAACGAAATTTGGACGGGATCCAAAATTCGGAAACGGAAATTCGGACGCATTTGTCCGAATGTCAGAAAATTTGTCCGAATTTTGATTTGGAACAAAATGAATCGCACATGTTTAGTGTAAAGTTGGCCGTAACCATCCAAAGAGGTCACTTGCAGATATATATTGTTACAGTTCACAAAGAGGTAAGGAAATGCACAGTCAAAGGTCAAGCCCTCTTGTTGACAATGTCTTGTCAATAATTTGTAAAGCTTGAAAAGCCCTCTTGTGAGATATGTGAATGTGAAGGGTGTATTCCTGCATCTGGCCTCCATAATCCGTCCCTGGAGGCTTGGAATGATTTCATCCTCCAGAGCCTTCATTTCTCATGCTGCCCACTCTCCTCTCTTTCCCTGCAGCATTCTTAATCCATCTACTTAACTCTCCCACTATTGAACACTTCCAGATCCTTCTGCACACTGTAGTTCCACCAGAGGTCTCTATGTTGAGTGTGGTGATAGAAACCTGGGGCAGCTGAGGTTCCCAAATCTTGCAAGAATGTTCTCTTGTACAGTGCAGGAGCATGCTTTTGTGAGATCTGCAGTTTTCCCAGGATCCCACAGGAAGGATGAGTGACATCGCCAGCACCAAAGCAAGAAGGATGAAAAGTCCAAGGAAAGTTGTTTTTTTTGGGTTGTTTGTCTTGGCTTCCATATTGCTCCTAGTTGCTCTGGACTGCAAGGTCCACTCTAAAGCTGGCCATACACCTATAGATTATCGTACGATGTCTTTCGTGACCTCATCAAACCCTCGTCCATGTTCCACTTGAATACTGCATCATGCACAGACCAATGTGGATTTCAATGAGCGTTTGTTAGCAGTACTAACGGAATTTCGTCGATTGACAGAACGGATTTTCCTTTGCACTATTCTAAAAAAGTTTTCCGGCCTGACTGATCGAGGAAATTCGTTGTACAGTAATTCTGAACGTTCACTTCCCATTAACTGGCCTATTACTCTGGTCTACACATTTTGGGAAATGATCGACCTCCGAGATAACGTGTGTGAATTCTTACATATTTTGATGAGATGAATTAGAAAACAGGTGATAAAGGTGCTGGTTGGTTGGCTAAAGTTTAAGATATTTTACAAAAAAAGATTTATACGCAGGCGAGTATATTTGCCTAAAAGGGAGTGAGGTGTCTGATGAACATGATGCCTCGTAACTTCTCCACAAAGTACGGTAGAACAATAAAAATGGTACAACATGGAAGTGTATACATTTATCTTCACTTTGAGACTAAAGATTAATACCGAACTGTAATTTTTTGTTCTTTTATTGCAAGGTACCTTTGTCTTGGTCACATCTACGCATCATACAGTTACATCTGGTGCTTTGTGAAAGTGTCTTTGCCGAACATTTCCAAGGAACAGTTGCGTGATATTTTCCCTCAGAAGCCAAGGTGCCTTGAAACTGTGTAAACAACGCAGAAAACTTCTGCTACATTTGCATCTCAAAAGTGCAGTATGATGGCAGTGGTAAAAAAGGCATACCACCTATATTGTGGAAGCAAAATAGGGGATCAACACAAGAGTAGGGCCCTTCATTTTTGTTGCATTACATGTGCAACTTATCTGCATCATTGGCTAAACAAGAGGGGAAAAAAAGTCCATGCCTTTTGTAGTCCCAATGGTGTGGAGGGAACCCACCAATCATAGTAGCGACTGCTATTTTTGCATGGTTCGCCCAATTGCAAAAGGGATCTCGAGAAAGAAGAAAAGAAACGTGGAATATCCAAACATTCCCCCATGGTAAGGACTTGCCTATTGCAGATCCACCCAAATCCTACTCTCTAGACTCAGATAATGATAAAGACGATGAGCAGGATGCAGCTGATCCGGGGCCAACGATGTCAGCTGACCCAAAAGTTCACAAGAGAAAAGCAAAAAAGCGCAGTTAAGATACCAAATAAACATGGAACTTTGTTGTTTAATCTGATGTTAGAGCTTGTCAGTTTTTCATGCAAACCAATAAATGAATGGAAAGTTATGTTGTTGGTATCAATAAAAAGATACATTTAGAATGATTGGTCTGGCACCATTCTCATTGCTATATCACAGTTTGCAGTTATGGAGCATAATCGCACATCCCCCTCGTAATTTTGAATTATTTTGACCTGAAGCTGTATCTTGGAAACTGGAGCCAATTAATCCTCAGGACTTCCTTTTTCGTTATTAGTGACCCAATTCTGGTAAAATTTAGCTACTTTCATTTCCGAGGCTTTCTCCTTGTAGACCAGTGTTATCGTACGAAAACCTGATCGTGTTTGATTTCCGAATGATAATCACAAGGTGTATGGGCACACACCTTACAACCATCGCAAGACTTTTGTCTTGCGATGGTTGTAAGGTAATTAAAAAAACGTACGATCTGCCTATCCTGGACAGGCAGATAGTACTTGCGATTATCCCAAGCCGCGCCCCCCTGAAGGGCGGGCTTCCGATGACCGCAATGCCGAACGGGCAGTGCGCGCTTGCGCACACCGGCCCGTCCGGCTTTTATCTTACGAACATGCTACACACCCGCCGGACATCGTACGATGCCCGGCGGGTTTTCGAACATGTTCGTAAGTTAAAAGTCGTGCGACCTTACAGTAGTAGAGGTCGCACGGCTTCCACACACCTTACGATAATCATACGATCGTGGGATTTCCCGCGATTATCGTAGGATTATCGCAAGGTGTGTGGGGACCTTTACAATTATCTGCAGATTTTCTGTGGTCAGATGGAAAAAGTGCAACGGATTGGCCCAGGTGGAGATTACTTCATCCACACAGTTAAGTATAGATGGAGGAATCTGTTGCACCTTTTCCATCTGACCATAGAAAATCTGCAGATAATTGTAAGGTGTATGGCCAGCTTTAGTGTAGTAACAAGTTGACCACATTGGAAAAATAATTAGTATTGCACCTGCCAGTCCACTTTGGCTGAGCCAATAACCACTAACAAGCACATCCTGCTCTAACAGGATTAAAAGATTTAATTACAGGGCTGATCGTATTTTAGTTTTCCCAAGATTTCACTGCCTTATTGCACCTTCCAGGCAAAGACAATCGGGCATTTTCTACATATACATTATTTTGTTTTTAACAATACACATTGTTTCAGTTCTGATTAATTCTTTTATTAACAAAATATGTGATGAGAGCATTTCTTTATCATTTTGTACTTGTGAGTCGCATGTCGTGAGGCAGCGGGAACAAACAGTCACAAATGGGTTGTTGAGTGGGTTATTTTTTTTTTTTTTTAATAGAACTTTTATGACTGATGTCTCCCCTCAAAGGAAACATGTAGTGTTCCCATTTAAAGTAAAGTAACAGATCCATTTGGTGGCCCGAGGCTCGGTTCATACCTCAGCGATTTATCTGCACGATATCGAGAAAAACAGAGATTTGCATTCAAGTCTATGGAAGCTGTTCACACCTTTGCGATTTGTCGCAGCGTGGAAATCGCCTGTCGTGCAAAAAGGTGCAGGAGCTATTTTCGGGCGGTTGTCACGCGATTTGGGACTCATAGACAGAATGGTAGTGCGAGAACAGTATTTGGCTGAAAGCAGCACTGCTTGTGCTAAATTTCCCATTAAACACAAGACGACTGAATAGTTCTACAGAAAGCAAATATTTATTCGGATGACAAGTGCTAATCTGTTGCAGTACATGCCCAGCAAGGCAATGCAAATAGAGGGACTGACTTAGACTGGAGTGGCAGTTGAATACGGTCATCTGGACACTGTCATAAACAGCACCAGACTGACACCAGGGAGAGCAGGACTCAAGGGATATAAATAAATACTGTATATACTGTTACAGGCAACATGAGGGCTTTGAACCAGTGGAATGCAGGAAATATTAATATATATACATATATAAAAAAAGTGACGTAAACAGCTTTGGGGGGGAAAGGAAGATGTCCTGCTCATATCTGCGTGAGAGGTAAGAACTTCTGATAGTAGCTCTTAGTCACGTCAATCATCAGCTCCTGTGTACATTCTGGAAGTTCTCCCGAGAACAGACCTGGAGGGTTAAACACAAACCGAAATCAGATGATACAAACCGAAATCAGATGATATTCACCCAAAGTATCTCAAATAATAGGATATGTCTCTTTTGACTGATACAGATTAATCAGATACCGTACTTTCTATTTCAAATCTGCTGTAGAGAAATGTCAGCAGGAAATGGAAAGTTGTTGAAGAAAAGGTTAAATAAATCTTTCCAGTAGGGTTGGCTGGTGTTTTACCTCCTTTCAAGAAAAACCAGTAATACAGTAAAAGCTAAACAGTATTCTCTACTGATTGGTTAAAGAAGAACTCTGGGAAAATCACAAACGTACCCTTGCAGTTGGGCTACTCCTGTACTGCAAGGGTTAATAGAACTATGAGGTGAGTGATATCACTCAGCCTCAAGGTTCGAGCCGACGTGCGACAATGAAACTGTCACAGGGCGGCTCTATAGATCGGGAAGTGAGCGAACACATACCGTCTCTCGCTCACTTCTCAATCATCTCCCTGCAGAGAGCGGTGACTGTCACTCACGCCTCCCTGCAGAGATTCCCCCCCCTCCCCGCTCCGATCCTCCAGTGCTGACTGGCGGAACGGACGGGGAGGGGGTGGGTACAGCTGGCGTGTCAATCACGCAGCTAGGTGGATCTCGACAGCATTGTCAGGATCGGTCCCAGCTGTGGCGGTCTCAGTATACCGCAAGCTTTACTGAGCTTTGGGTCGCGGGAGGACGCTAGTTTATGTCCTCCCGTGACCCTTAGGAGAACTATGGGGAAAAACACTGACCCCATAGTTTTTTTTAAGTGCTTGTTTTATCCAGGGGATTCAAATAAAGCAGATTTACTTACCTGATACTTGGTCCTGTCAGCTACCCCTGGGCTGCTAGACTGTTATGTGGAGCCTCCTCTGCTCTGGGCTATGGCTCTTTAAAAACCACTAGAGTCATCATGGGTTATGCAGATCCATTGACTTGCATTAGACGTGAGGCCATGGAACCAAGGTTTAGTAACGTAAAACTGTTTTTTTTTTTTTTTTTAAGTCCCCTACACCAGTGGTTCTCAACCTGTGTAACCTCAGGACCCACATTTGTCCTTGGTCATTAAGTCATGAACGCACGACATTGCCTGGCATGAAATTGTGGGTGGGAGGTGCTTTTGGGGTGCCATTCAAATAAATGGCAATGCAACACTCCCCCAACACCAGAATTCATGGTAGGTGCGGTTTTGCCTGGTACGGGACTGTGCAATTTATTGCACTGTACTAGTGTGAATGGGCCCTCAAAGACACACAACCACAGACACAATCTCACACACTCACAGACATTCTCACACATACACACTCCAAAAAAAAAAAATATATATTTTTTTTTAAGATCCACCCAGTCTTCCTATCTTACTAGAACTGGAGTGGATCCTCAGCCTGGGGTCCAGTGTGGGCTGCTGTGCTGTGATGGAGCTCTATCCATATGTGCATTGCTGGCACAGCTCCCTTGCGTGCCCTGTAGAGGTTCCGGAAGCCAGAATGTGACGTCATTCCGGTCCAGGCACCTCTACAGGACATGTGGGGGAGCTGTTAGCAATGTATGTATGGATGGAGCTCCCTCGCGGTCATAGCCCCATCCCACCCCATCTCAAGCTGACACTCGGCACCGGGCAGCATTTTTTTAATGGCCGCTTGACGTGAGAACTGACAGTGCTGTGCTAGGGGGAGGCTGAGGAACCTCTCACCTAGAAAAGTGGAAAGCATGCGGCGACCCACTGAACACGGGGTCGCGACCCACTTTTGGGTCACAACCCACCAGTTGAGAACCAAGGTCGTAGACAAAACGAGCACTTATCCCTTGCAGTGTGGGGGTAGCCCCAATTCAAGGGTAAGATTGTGATATTCCCGGAGTTCTTCATTAAATTGTTAAGGGCAAAATACAAAAGACACAGATCACACTGACATAGTGTTGCAATATACAATAATAGGAATACAATTATTGGGCAAATGCACTAACCTGTGTAAAACATAAAATTGTTCATCTGTGGCTCAGAGATGACTCTCAAATCCAATCCTGGATTTGGCTATTGCAATTTGATATGGCCAATAGCAGGCTGGCTATTGTACCCGCCCACGACCTGCTGTATTTAAATTCAGCTGCCGTCTGCAGAATCTTGCCACTGGCAGCTGTCATTGCCGGGCTGAAGCTATTCAAGCGCCATGTGCTAACACTACAATTATAAAAAGGTAGGAAAAAAGTCATTTTCGCTTTTGGCCTGACAAATTCTGCTGCGGTAGGTGCGTTGCAGTGCCATTCATTTCAATGGCACCCCAAACGCGCCTCCTACCCGCAGTGTGATTGCCAGCACTGGAACACATGGTACCGCAATGCTGCGAGTTCCAATGCAGTGGGATTGCAAAAAAATGTGCATGCAGTTTTATACTGAAGTAAACGTTATGTTTGTTGTAACACTCCATTTGTGTATTTTATTTTACATTAAGGATGGTATTTCATTTTTTATCCGATTCATTGAAAAAATAAAAATTGTCCAACTAATCGGTTATGAAAATAATAATTAGTTGTCACATGTGTCACATTGTGCGATTCACCAGGGAGTGTTGGACAGCACCCCTGCTGAATGACTTCTAGGATCAATTAGCCCGATGGAAAGTCTTTCTCAACAAATGTGCACTGAGAGAGTGGAGCAGTACAGCGCCATCACCGTGCAGCATTATTAACCATGAAGCACAACCGGTCATAGGTGTCCTTTAAGATGCCCATAGACATTAGATGACAGTCTACCTCTATGAGGCACATGCTGAGGCTCATCAGGAAAGTGGTGACTGTGATTTTCCCCTGCTGGACTGCACTCCTTTCTCTACGGCCAGCTAGGCTCTATCAACAATTTCATAACTGGACTCACCAGGGCAGCCAGAAAACACTGTAAAAGGAGGTACCACGGTCTCAGGAGGCAAAACTGTGTTATCCAAAATCTTGCAGCAATCCTTTAGGACACATCTTCGGCCCTGTTACAAAGCAATCAGTCACACAACTATTACCAAGGAAAGAAAGAGAACTGAAAGAACAACAGGATCGGTTTGGGCTCCATCTCAGCATCTGACACTTACAATGACACAATTCTTGCCTATGTGTACGTAGGATCCGATCTGGGCTGCATTCACCACACAGTCCTCTTCTATAAACACATGGTCCCCAATGTGTAATGGGAAAAACGCCACTCTGTTGTGAGCAAAAGACAGTCACCAAAGGTAGCGGAATACAAATTATTAAAGGAAATCTGGTACAAACACTGGAGCAAAACAAAATACTGACACACAATATTACAATATTAATAATATGTAGTATCCTTTCCAGCCAGCAGGTGGAGCTCCAGTCTCCTTTCACATGTGTAGCATTGTCTCACTCTCAGCTGTGCTGACAGAATCCCCTTATTTACAACATCCATGAGTCATCAGAGCAGTGGCTCCTCCCCTATCCGATGGCTGGCTCTGAAGTTTCAATAAGACAAACACAGTCTGAAAGCAGTCTCAGGGAATCTGGACACAAGCACCGGGATAGTAGAAACAGCTCCTTCAGGAGTCTGAGTGGAGTGGAGATAAAGGTATTGGTAGGGGCACAAGCAAAGTTTAACAGCGATAGATACACCGGTGCTGTGACTGCTCTGGTATGTTGACAGAAGAGCCCACCCTGTAGGTAGAGGGCTATTCGAATATTCATTTCTGAGGGGCAGGCTACAACACTTATCGAATGATGTAGGGGAGGGGTGCCCATTAGGTTGATCGTGATCTACCAGTCGATCGCAAAGTAAACACTGTTAGATTGATATCGGCTCACTGTCCTGAGCTCCCTCCCGCGGTGAATGTGTCAGACGGTACAAACGGGAAGGGGTGGGACACCTATCCCCGTCTGCAGCGTCGGACACATTCGGCCACACTAGCACCGCAGGTGGACAGGACACCGCATCTGAGAGAAGAGCTGGGAAGCTGCTGCAGTGCAGGTATCAGCCAGCAGAGAGAGAGAGAGGAGAGACAGCCAGCAGGGAGAGAGAGAGAGAGGAGAGACAGCCAGCAGAGAGAGGAGAGACAGCCAGCAGAGAGAGAGGAGAGACAGCCAGCAGAGAGAGAGGAGAGACAGCCAGCAGAGAGAGAGGAGAGACAGCCAGGAGAGATAGAGGAGAGACAGTCAGGAGAGATAGAGGAGAGACAGTCAGGAGAGAGACAGTCAGGAGAGCGAGAAGAGACAGCCAGGAGAGAGACAGTCAGGAGGATGAGCAAGGAGAGACAGACAGAGGAGAGTGAGAGATAGAGAGAAAAGACAGCCAGGAGGATGAGCGAGGAGAGACAGGAGACTGGCAGTAGCCCCAGTAACGATTTTAATGTGCTTGTTTTTTTAAATAAAGGTGTTTTTTTCGTTAGTAGATCACATTGAGCTCTTCATTTAAAAAGTAGCTCTCAAGACAAAAAATTGTGGCCGCCGCTGATGTAGGGTATCCTGCAGACCCCTACACCGGGCAAGTCGCTGATATAAGATTTTCTGTATCAGAAGGAAAGGCGCATCTTGCTGCAGGAACAATATAACATATAGAAATCCTGCTTTGGGGCCCAGAGATAAGCTTTATAAAGCTATCGGCACTGCAGATATCACCGTGGACCTCCATCACTCCATGTCACTTTGGTTTAGGATGACAAGGGATGGGCTGCTAGATGTGATTTGGTCTTTTTTTACACCATGCACCACATTTGCTGTTATTACATATATGGAACACGCTGAATAGCAGACATTCATACCCCCAATTATGGATAATTTAGGGGTAATAATCATATCATGCAACGTGACTGGGGCAGGTAAATGGATTTCTGGCATATTATTAATACATATAAAAGACACATTTCTGTATAATTAAAAAAAAAGACCTGGCTCTACTTTTTGTGTAAAGGAAATTAAAATGTTTCAGTTAATTTTAGCAGATTTTATAAAAATACGGCGCTTGTCCCAGATGAGGCTGATTTATAATAACCAGGGATTGATGCAATGTCTGTAGTGACGAAAGAAACCAATTACAGGCCAGCTTTCAGCTTCTAACCTGTGCTTGAAAAATGGCATAAAAAATGAAAGTAACCCAAAAACAAAGATGTTATATAGTGCAGCTCACCAGTCCTTAGATATGGTAGCTGCATTCGTTTTCTTGTTTTTCTTTATTTTGATCTGGTGATCCTGCCAGTAACACACTTCCTGTCCTCGGGCGGCTACACTCACTCACTCCACTGTATCTACGGTCTAGAGGGAGCCATGGTCATCACTAGGGATGCACTGATACTGTTTTTTCAGTATCAAGTACCGATATATATTTTTTTTTTCGGTACTCGCAGATTCCAAAGACGTGTCTCGTGTGCCCCGATTATCAGGAAGTTGGGCGGCGGATCGTGACCCGTCACCCGGCTTCCTGATTGCCTGTTTTAGCGAAAGAACAACAGCTTCAGAGGCTGCCTGACCAATCAGGAAGCCGGGCGGCAAGTCATGACGTGCCGCCCGGCTTCCTGATTGGTTAGGAAGCCAGGCTGCCTACCAACAAGTGAAGCTGGCTTCCTAGCCAATCAGAAAGCCGGACGTCACGTCATGACCCGCCTCCTGACTTTCTCTTTGGCTAGGAAGCCGGCTTCACTTGTTTCTAGGCAGCCTGGCTTCCTGACCAATCAGGAAGCCTGGAGGCGGGTCATTACGTGCAGCCCTGATTGGATAGAAAGCCAGCTTCACATGTTGGTAGGCAGGCTGGCTTCCTAACCAATCAGGAAGGCGGGCCGCACGTCATGACCTGCATCTCAATTGTCAAATGAATGGCAATGCAACGCACGGAGTGCACAGCATCTCAATGTGATAGCATGAATAAATTGCACGGTATTGTGAGATTAACGCAACCCTATGGTGTCACTGGGCCCTTAACCAGGGAAAAAACTGCTTTGCAGAGGAATTCCAAGCTTTCAACTTTTTGCCATTGGAAAGTTGGGCTTTTAATCTGCATAATCTAACAGAAGGGCCGCAACACACATAAGATTTAAAGGGCATGGGGGACTAAAGCTGGTTCTACACTTATTGCTCAATTCTCTCAAAAACGTGGATGGAATCCCCCCTTCCCCGGGCTTATTGCATTTTGGTGAGTGTGCCACTGTCTGAATACCAGAGCAGGAGCAGCTGATTGGCAGGAGTCACTGTTCGTCCATGAAGTTTCCGATCGCCTCTTTTGACAAAGGTCATTGAAGAATCATCTTTTGTGTGCCGATGGGGGGTCACACTCAAATGTTGGCTGCACTGGCAGGACTAGGCCCACATTTGAAGAGTGTTTGGTCCACCTTAGCTGCTGTTCACCTGATGTCCCACTGAAGTTAGAGTGATTGTATTCTGTCATTTCCAGAGCTGGAATAGGTCTATGTACACTGAACGGGAAGGGACTGCAGGTGTCTATAGAACTGAGGAGGATCTGACAAATCAAATGCTGGGATCTTCCCAAACAACACCGCTGCGGAGACTCACCCCTTGCTGAATTTTTTAAATGGCGGTCTAATCACACTTCTACTTTTGATGACGCAGTGTCGGCCGACTCGAACATTGGCCAGGTCCCCCCGGATAATGCAATCGTTCATCACGATCGTCTGCAAGAAATAAAAGGAAAAGAATTGTATTTCTGAACATAAATGTGTGTGACCTGCAGCCTTATTCAACAAACAGCATCAATTGTGTCCAGACAAAAAACCTTTGCAGCACATTCCTGCAATACATGGCATTCTGCAAATACAGAAAAGGACCTGTTGATCCTGCCACATATCCAGTGAGCTCTTAAATTCTTGTAGTGAGCTGACAACACTGCCTCGGCTGCCCTGAAATCCCAAGCAGTGTTGTCAGTAGGGATGCAGGTTTTCCGGTAGCAAGTACGAGTACCGATATTTTTGTTCTCGGTACTCGCGGATACTGGCATCCTTAGGTAATGTAGGCCCAGCTTCCTGACCAATCAGGAAGCCAGGCCGTGGGTCATGACCCGCTGCTCGGCTTCCTGATTTCCTGGGAAGCCGGTGTTCTATCGAAAGCACACCGGCTTCACGCTGTCAAGTGACACGCGGCAGCCTGGCTTCCTGGCCAATCAGAAAGCCAGGCTACCTTGCAGTGTCACTAGGCAGTGTAAAGCCGGCTTCCTAGCCAATCAGGAAGTCAGAAGTTGGGTCATGACCCGTCGCCCGACTCCCTGAGTGGATGGCAAGCAAGCTCCATGCTTCCTCGTGTCACTGCCGGTCAGAGGGAATCTCCCTCTGACCGGCAGTTCCGGTATTGTGTTAAGTATCGGTATTGGTGCATCCTTAGCTGTCAGACCTGCCTCGGTTCTCTTATTTTGGACTACAGAACACATGTGCTTATGCTACGGATGAGGAAGGTGTTCTGTAGTCCAGCAGGGGAGAACCTAGGCACGGCTGACAACACTGCTTGATGTTTCAGCGCAGCAGAGGCAGTGTTGCCAGCTGACTACAAGAAATTAGGAACTCACTGGAGCCAGTTGCTTAGTTATTAATACAGTGTCTCAATACTTCAAGTCGTGGACCCAGAGCAAGTATGAAGACCAGGAACATGAAAGTACAGCCCTGTCCTGTCCGCTTGTTTCAGTGCAGTATTGAAGCTGAAAGTTTGCAGCAGCAGTTGCAGAAGAATATGTCAGCAATGGCAGACTACATGTTTCTTTTAGGAAAGCTTGTGTACGTGTCCGCTCCGGGAGCACCAACGCAAGGTCAGGATTCCCCTCTGTTGAATGTAACTGAAGCGGAGCCGCACTGACGCAATACATAGATTCCACTGAAGCCTCCTGGAGGCACACCTGCTGTGTACACTGAATGCATGCCGATATCAGTGACTAGAACCTCTATAGACATCCTTCACTTGTGTACACAGTAGCAGAGCTGTCAGAGGCTTCACCTGAAGTGTATCTAAACACAAATGCAGTGTAATATATTGCAGCTTAGCTGTCCTTAGATTAAGGCAAGTTTTCCTTTACTTTCCAATGGTAATCCTGCCAGTAACACACTTCCTGTTCTATGGTGACAACGCTCACATTGGTCTATGTAACTACAGAGGAGCAGCGTTGCCCCCATAAGACATAATGAAGGTGAGTTTATCAAAACTACAGCAGACAAAATCTGGAGCAGCTGTGTATGGCAACCAATCAGCTTCTCTCTTTCATTTTCAAATCTTAACTGAGCAAACTGAAGAGAGAAGCTGATTGGTTGCCATGCACAGCTGCTCCAGATTTTGTTTGCTCCAGTTTTGATATATTCCCCCCAATGTGTGTAAAGTTGGGTACACATGTATCAAATTTTGACCGGTTCCTGTTGAACTTGCTAAAATTCACACAGTGGGTGCCGCTGTCGCCACCCTTCCTGCTGGCATCCCTCGATCAGCCAGGAGGAGCCGGTTGGGAAACTCTTGGCCGGTGTATGGTGGCCGCTGTCAGAATACAATGCAAACAGCAGGGGATTCCTTGATCCACGCTCTTAAGCGTTGACGGAGGAATCTGTTATGTTTTCTTCCTTCAGCCCGCAGGTTGAACGATGAAAATATATACGCATATTGCCGGCTTTAGACAGAGATCACCTTCCCTTCTGTTTTTCTTTTATCCCCATTAACATGGAGGGAGGTGTTCTGTAGTTCACAGAAAGAGACCCGGGCAGGGCTGACAACACTTCTGGAGGTGCACAGGACAGCACTGAATATCTAGGAATCTTTTTACACTTGGGGTTCGTTCACACTATAGTGCAGTGCGTTCCGGTCAGAATCGGACCGGAATGCACTGCCCCATTGCGGCCGGCTCACTTTTTTGCGGGCTGGAGGGGTGTGGCGGGCCATGGAAGTGAATGGCCACAATGCGATCACCCGCATGGGATTGCAAGGCAAATTGTGCCTGCAGTGCGTTCCGGTGCGGTGCAATCAAAATGCTGCAAGCACTATTTTGATCGCACCGGAACGCACTGCAGGCACTAGGTGTGAAAGGCAATGTGCCTTGGGATCCCGTGTGGACGACTGCATTGCGGCCGCAGGGCGTGGCTACGGTGTCATTCACTTCCATGGCCCCTTCAGCCCGGCCCCGTGAGCCGGTCGCAATGCGGGCAGTGCGTTCTGGTCCGATTCTGACCTGAATGCACTGCCCTATGGTGTGAACGAACCCTCATTGAACAGTTATAAATAACAATATATGAAAGCAATTTCTTATAACAGAGCAAAAGGAAGCAAATAAGAGAAGATCTTTGTTCGGTTTCACATACACTTCAAACCAATATGAAGCACTAGTGGGGGGGGGGGGGGGTTCTCTGCTTTTCCCCTGATGAACTGGCCCATACCTGAGAAAACCACTCCGGAATTGGAACAAACATTTTACTCCTTGGAAATGTTCCATCCATCTGTAACAACGTTCAACAACCTGCTGGCCCTGGCAGATGTTCCTGGAGCTTCGATGAAGGAAAGCAAACAACAGAAGACCGGCTTGTAAAAGAGTAACCTGCATTGTTCCAACGGCTCAATGACTTGCCGTCTTGTCTGGCTGGTATCCTGCGTCTGCTCTCAACTGGTTTTAGGGCCCATTCCCACCACCCAAAATGCATCCTAATGTATCCCTATGCTATTTCTGGCCTCTGTTCACACCTGCGCAATCCGTTCCAGACCAGAAAAATACTGTACCTCTCATTTTGTCTGGTCTGGAATGCCCTGGAACAGCGGACAGGTTCACACCACTTTCCGGACCAGATATGGACCAAAAAAATGGTGTGAACCTGACCTTAGGGCCTGTTAACACATACTGCAGTGACCTGCATTGTACCGCACTGGATCATAGGAGGTCTCCGCAGGTGTAATGGGCAGTGCACTGCGATAGAATGGAAACATGGTGCATTTATGCGCAGCACACTGGATGCCACTGCAGGATGCCGCACAACAGCGCAACGCACGGCTACTGTGCATTGGCCTGAATGGAGTGTACACATTGTATGTTCCATAAAGAAAATAAAAAATGAATGCTCCACAGCGCACTGGCACCCCCGCGGTTTTAAAGGAAGGGCAAGTGTGAACTGGGGCAGACAACTGAGTGTACAATTGTAAATAATTCTAGGAACCAGAATGAAAGTTGTCATGTGAGTAGAAGAGGCCCATAAAAAGTCAGCAGCAAATTGTGGCCAATTCCTTCAAACCAAACTAATTTCAATTGAAAGAAATCGGGCAGAAAAAAATAAAGTCGGCTGAATAGTAACTAAACCAAGCAGCTGCAGTCGCTGCCCCGGTATTCTGACATCTGCAGGATACAACAGCCGGCAGGCAGGGGAGTAACTTTAGATCATGGGGCCCCATAGCAAAATTTTGATGGGGTCCCTCAGCGACCTCCCTACTGTCAATCAAAGTCAGGTAGCAGGAGAGCTGTCTGCATTGTCTCCTCCTGTACCTTTATGTCAGCTCTTCTTGATGGGAAATGTCACAGGTGTTACAGGGTTAGCGTAAACAGCAACTTCTACAATGTCTGAGGGGCCCCATTCCACCCCCAGGCCCTATAGCAGCTGCATGGGCTGCTATGGCTATTGTTACGCCACTGCCGGCAGGGAATATTCCCCCTGTATAGTGTGGAAGTTGTTGGGTCCCTCGACATGGACTTTGACTGCTAAAGCTGTATCCTGATGCAATTTGGGTATTGCATAGAACCGGGGTAGGCAACCTCGGGGCTCCTGCTTGCTGAAACTACAAATACCATCATGAAAAACTGCAAAACCGACACACGATGCTCTTCCAAAGATAAAACAATTTTATTCCACATGCATCTGTGCAGAAAAACAACCACTGACACGTTTCCGCGTCACTCGGCCTTAGTCATAGCTATTGGACAGATGTGGAATAAAATTAGATTTTCTCTGGAAGAACATCGTGAGCCGGTTTTGCAGTATTTGAGACAATTACTCCAGAAGAGGGTTATCCATGCACCAAATGTGGATTGCACGGATGCATGACAGGGGTGAGCTGTGCATTTTGTGTTTTTAGAAATTCCATCATGCTTCTGCCTCTGGGACTCATGCCTGTGGCTGTCAGTCTTGCAATGCCTCATGGGACTTGTAGTTCCACTACAGCTGGAATGCCAAGCTTGCCTACCCATGGTTGACAGAGGTCAAGTACCTGACAATCTTTAATAACAATCTATAGGCGACATTTTCACCATGTTCCGGGGTCTGCCCACCTGCTGTAGCTTTCACGGGGTGTTCCTGCTCTCCCTGATATTTTATCTTGGTATGGAGAATGCAAAAGGAGGAGCTGAAAGATACAGACTTCTAGATAGACAAGGACAGAGTCAACGTTGGAGCAGGGAGATCTCCCAAGACACAATCAGCGTAAAGCTGGCCATACTCCTTGACCATAGAACATCTGCAGATCATCTATAGGTGTATGGCCAGCTTTATGCACAACCATGCCACCAATCAGCACAGTTTAGGACTGTCAATGCCATAAGGTGGATTTACTATAGGAGTAGAGTCTGTTCACTTAGCAAAGTGAATGTGTACTGAGCTTAAGAAATAAGGAATGAAGGCAGTTCACTTTGCTTTGCCGTTCACCTTTAGAACAGGGGGTGGGCGACTCCGGCTGTGGTGCAACTACAAGTCCCGCGAGGCATTGCAAGACTCTGACAGTGACAGACATGACTCCCAGAGGCATGCTGGGATTTGTAGTTAAAGCACAGCTGGTGGGCCGGACTCGCCCTGCTTTAGTACATCAAACCCATTGTGTACATAAACATCTTGAACCGTGTGTAGTTTTCCATACGGCCTTGTTGGGTTGCCAGCTCCGCTACGCCTCAATCCTTCCCAGGAGATCTTTGACAGGCTTTGGGGTATTTACAACAACAAAGTCAAATGCAGTTTACACAAATACCTTATAGACGCTGTAAATGCCGAGGATTACAGAGCAAAACACACAGGAGCTTAGGGGCAATGACAAAGGGAGCAGTCTAATCTTCTGCCAGTTCTCTACTTAAAGCTGGACTTCCCCAGTTCCCCCCTCCCCCCCTCATCAACATGCTAATGGCATCTTTAAATAAAATCTGTTTTCATGGCATACCTCATTTTAGATCCAGTGTTGTCGTTACTGGGTCTCTGTGCTTATATATGCAGATCGCAGCTGGTGGGAGGGGCCAGCAGCATGCTGTGCATAGCTTCCTGAAAACATGGCAGCACCCTGCCGGCCCCTCCCAGTAGCCATGATCTGCATATATAAGCACAGAGACCAAGTCATGACACTATTGGGTCCAATATGTGGTATGCCATGAAAGCAGGTTTAATTTAAAACATTTTATACTGCTCAGTGCTCCTCTCAAGAGTCCTTAGCATTGATGTAGGCAGTGGGGTGGCTCTAGGGAGGAGTTATGCAAATATCAAAATTCCTTGAACGGTGGATGTCAGTCTGGAGCAGTGGGCGTTGCCAGACATACAGACCGCCCTAAGCAATGCCCATATGTGATGCTGAGCCTCTATAATTGAAAGAACTGAAAAGAGAGGGGCGAGCCAAGGCTAGATGATGCTGGACGTCCTCCAGCCAGGGAATGAGGCGGGCTCTATCTGACTTGCTGCAGCTTCTAATGCACATTATGAGAAGCTCACAGTGTGCAGAGAGATCAGAGGAAGACATTTCAGTCCAGGAAAGGAGGCGGTACAACTGAAGGGAAGGCCGGAGTCCTGCTCTAAAGTATTATGCAAGGTGTCAAAAGTGATATTTCAGCTGTAGGTGGGATGTGACAGACACAGGGGCCCCTTTTGGTTTTTGTGCCCGGGGTCAGGATTTAAAAGGAGAACTATGAGGTGAGTGAAAATCACTCAGCCTCAAAATCTGAGCCGACATGTGACAATGAAACTGTCACAGGTCGGCTCAATAGATCGGGAAGTGAGAGAACACATACCAGCGCTCGCTCACTTCCCGATCCTGTCATTGCAGAGAGCAGTGACTGTCACTCACGGCTCCCCGCAGGGATTCCCCCCTCCCCTCTCCGATCCTCCAGCGCTGACTGGCGGAACGGATGGGGGAGGGGGCGGGCACAGCTGGCTCTGCCTCTAGATAGGCAGAGCCAGCTGTCAATCACGCAGCTGGGTGGATCTTGACAGTAATGTCGGGATGCGTCCCGGCTGCGGCGGTCTCAGTATATCGCGAGCTGTAGCTCGCGATATACTGAACTTTGGGTGACGGGAGGACGCTAGTTTATGTCCGCCCATGACCCTTAGGAGAACTATGGGGAAAAACCCTGACCCCATAGTTCTCCTTTAAAAGTTTCTTACATCTGCATGAGGTGCAAAGATCTCCTGGGGCTCCCAGCAATGCACATCAGTGATCAGCAGTCTCAATCTTCCCAATACATTTCTAATTGATCATATATAATGGAGCGTTCAAGAGGAGAAATGGGGAAACCCCAACGTAGATGCCGGAACCAAGCACTGCTAGGTGGTGAGGAAAAGAGTCAGGTACTCTGTCTGGGAGATGTCAGTGATAGATCTGAGTGTGGGTCATTCACACCACCTACAATATCACTTTTGGGTGGGGTGGCCCTTTTAAAGAACCCCCCAACTGAAAAACAAGTGAGGCAGGTAGGCAGCTGACCTTATGTTTTGGGCACATAATGTTGCTGAACCCCTACACTTGACCAACTGAAGCAACCCCAGATCATAACACTGCCCCGAAAACCAGCTTTTATAGTGTCTGTAAGGTAACGGCGAGGCCCAGACTCCTAGTATATCTTGGACCGATGACAGAAGAGGTTAGCTGTCCATGCTATCTGTTAAACTTATATATGCTACAAGATGGCATAATGGGATTAGTGATAAATATTATATTAATAATAATTATATATATCATACATAAATAATAATGTTTAAAAAGATAAATAAAAAAACAAAACAAACAGTCCGATTCTCCTTTCTCTTCTCTCGTGCCGAATGATAATATGACCAACACAGACAGTTCTTTGTTCACTAGGAGGCCACTTATGTGTTCTGTAGATCAGTCTTTTCTATAACACAGACAACAGCGCCCCCTCACCATCTGGTTGAGAAAGGAACTGCATCTTAATGTATCACAGAGCCCATGGAGTACAGCGCTGTCCAACTTAAAAGACCCCAGGAGCCACATTCACATCTATACGTTGAGTTAAGGGCTGCAGTTTATAAAAATTATTTCCAATTCAAAAACATTAGGCGACAGCCATACGTATGGTAATAAAACCAAGAAGCAGGGATAAGCCCCTTCTACGAACCTCCATCTTCAGGATCCCCTCCACTCACCTGCATCATGCCACCGTATCCCACTCTCACGCCTGTATGGAAGCAATAGGCTGCCACACAATGGTTTCTGGGAAGGGACATTTGGCTCAGAGCAGTGGCAGCAATAATAAACCCTTCTTCATTAGTGTTAAAGAGCTTTTTTGAGCAAAATGTAGTCTTCCCAATAGTTTGAGCTGGTGTGTGTGATACTGCAGCGGCCACACGTCGGCTCTATAGCTCGATAACTGAGCGATCACAAACCACTGATCGCTCAGCTCACAGCTTCTCCCTGCAGAGAACGCTGATTGACAGGGATCCCCCCTCTCTATTCTTCCAGTGCTCATTGGAGAGACAGACAGGGGAGGGGGCCGTCACAGCTGGCTCAGGCGAGGTAGTGCCGGCTGTCAATCAGGCAGTGGGGTGGATCCCAACAATATTGGCAGGATCTTTCCCGGCTGCAGTGTGGCTCTGCGCTGTCAGCATATAAAGGGCAATAGACAGCCCTGTCTGACTTTGGGTCACAGGAGGACATTAGCCCCCCACCCCAAAAAAGGTTTGACCATAGTTCTCTTTTAATGGCAGCAAAAACAACCCTCTGCATTGGTGTGGCAATAATAAAAATAATAAACCTCCCCTCATTGGCGTCAGTGGCAGCTTAAATAAACCCCCTTCACTGGTGTCAATAATATAAATACACTTTTGTTCCATTAAAGAAGAATTGCAGGAATTTTTTATTATTAACCCTTCCAGTGGGGCTACCACCGCACGGCAAGGGTTAAGTGCTCATTGGGGGTCTAAATAAGTTAGACTCACCCAAAGCTCCAAGCCGGCTTGTTCTTAGGCTGGTCCTTCCAACATCTCTCCCCCTCCTCTGCAGCAGTCTAAGGTCCCACAAATCATCACATCTCATACACAGTGTATAGATGTGAGGATGCCGAGGAAGAGTCCAATGCTGCAGGAAGGGGGAGACAGGCTGGAGGGAGAGCTGTGACAGCTGGCTGGCTCTGGGCTTCGGGTGAGTATATCTTTGTTATTCTTCTCCCTAGACACAAATGATCACTTAAAAGGAGAACTATGAGGTGAGTAAAAATCACTCATCCTCATAGTTCGAGCCGACGTGTGACAATGAAACTGTCACATGTCGGCTCAATAGATCGGGAAGTGAGCGAACACATACCGTCGCTTGATCACTTCTCGATCATCTCCCTGCAGAGAGCCGTGACTGTCACTCACCGCAGGGATTCCCCTCTCCAGCGCTGACTGGAGGAACAGATGTCAGAGGGGGCGGGCACAGCTGGCTCTGCCCCTAGATAGGCAGAGCCAGCTGTCACTCACGCAGCTGGGCGGATCCGTCCCGGCTGCGGCGGTCTCAGTATACCACAAGCCGTAGCTCGCGATATACTGAGCTTTGGGGGAGGACGTTAATATATGTCCTCCTGTGACCCTTAAGAGGACTATGGGGAAAACAATAGTTCTCTTTTAACCCTTACAGTGCAGGGGTAGCCCCAATTGCAAGGGTTTATAAAAAATTTTCCTGGAGTTTTTCTAGAAGCTGGGTTCTTTTGCCCGTACTCCCGAGACACAGATGAGTTATATTACTAACCTTGCCATTGAGTACAATGTTCTGGCTTCCACACAGTACAGACTGCCTGCTGACTTTGTTTCCAGATGCCTAGGGACAAGACACACACACATTACGGACATCGTCTGTGACTAATAATCAGACATTTCTACATAGAAAAAGCTGAGCGCCAAGCAAATATCATTCAATAAATCCAGTTATGTGTGTAGATAGTACAAGTCTGTCAAATCTGTCTTCATGTTAGCTTCCTGTAATCCACCATTCAGCAGAGCTTTGAGAGAAGGGTCGGCAGTATCAGATATTTACATCTCTCTTGCGGTTGCACTGCCCTGTTATCCTAACACTGTGATCTTGCTTTCAGAAGGGTAGACCAATGCTGTTCCTTCATTGTTCAATCAGCAGACTGAGGTGGGGAGGTGACACCACTGTATTCCTTTAATATAATAGAGAAAGTGGTGTCACCCTGCTGGCTAAGCAATGTGTCAGTGACAGAATCATGATTTGGACAGATAAAGCAATTCTCACTCATGCATTACAGTTGTGTATTGAACCGATTGGCCGAAGGGAACCTTTAACGCAAAACTCACTTATTGTGATCGCTGTTTACACTTCTTTATTAAACCAGAACTCCGGGAAAAAGTGTTCTTAACCCTTGCAGTGGGGCTACCACCGCACTGCCAGGGATAAGGGTTCGTTTTCATGTAGTTGCTAAAAAATAAAGTTATTTCACCGGATTCCCGGAGTCGGACGGCTCTTAGACCGGCCCCTGGAGCCTCTCTCCCCCTCCGCTGCAGCAATCCAAGGATCCTTGAGTCGTCACGTTCCATACACTGTGTATAGGAGGTGAGGACACTGAGGTACATACCATCGCTGTAGTGGAGGAGAAGACAGGCTTTGGGGATTTTTTTTTCACCCCTTAACCCTTTGCAGTGCCCGGAGTTCTGTGCAAACAGCAATCCCAATGAGTCCCTATTAATTTAAGATGCGCACACAAGATTGAAAAGCAAGCATTGTGCTTGCAGTGCAAGTAACAATACGCGGGAAGCAAAACACACATCTGGGTGCGCGCATTAGCGTGAAAACAAATGCCATCAAAAACCATGCAAAGCTCGCAGTCCGAAGTGCATTAGCGTCTTTGCCGCATGTAGGGCAAATGAAGGCACCAAAATGCGTCACATGTTTATGTGCACCCCCAGTGTGAGTGGGGCTCACTGAAATGTAGCTGCCCAAGGCAACCAGATTTCAGTTGAAATCAGTGGGATTTATTGAAGCGTCTCTCCATGCATGACCCAAATTTACCCCCCAACTTCCCACTCCCCCCTCTGGGGTGTATCCCACCATCATTATCTTCTTACTTTTTTCTGTAGTGAGAGAGAGACAGCTTTATTACTCCTGAAGTCCTCACCAGGATAGTAAAAGACTTGCAGGGGCAGCTGCTTAAAGGCAAGTTCATACTGGTGTAGACACGCCCCCAGAACTACATCTCCCAAGATTCCTTCCCCCTACCTACAGGCTCCTAGTAGTCAAGGCAGCAGGCATGACGGTGTACTATCGAAAGCTCCGACTTGTTCAGCTCTCCGACTGGTGACGTCACATCCGGTGACTGCCTGTAGGAGACGTACAGCAAATGGAGCTAGTGCGCATGGGCAGAAAATCCTTGTCGAACTGTCTAACTATTGCCACAGCGCCTGCGCGGCTCATCGGATTCTGTAACCTTGTACAAACTTATATTTGTCCTAGGTTATGGAAGCCGATAGCCGCGCAGGCGCAACTGTGGTTGTAGAAAGAATCATGTGGCTGCGCAGCGTCTTGCCTGTGGCTGTCAGAGTCTTGCAATGCCTCATGGGCCTTGTAGCTCCACCACAGCTGGAGGGCCGCAGTTGCCCACCCTTGCTCCACACCAGGGGTAGCCAAGCTCCGGCGCTCCAGCTGTGGTGAAACTACAAATCCCATGATGCATCTCTCTCCAGGAGTCATGTCTGTGGCTGTCAGAGTCCTGCAACACCTCATGGGACTTGTAGTTCCAACACAGCTGGAGTTACCCACCCTTGCTCTACACCAATCGGTGCATACTGCAGACAGCTGATGCTACACAACGCAGTGTTTACATCAGTTTAACAGAGATACTGAGTTTTAAAACCAGTCACCCTTTAGGCCTGCTCCTGATCATCACCTTAGCATGCAAACCATGTGCAAAAGCTGAGCTGCTGTCACAGGTAAAGACCCAAAAGGGGTGGGGTCAACTGTACAGCTGGGGCAGGGTTTCTATTTTTCTGGCCACTAAGCGTACATGTAGATGATACTACAATACACATATTTAACCTTTCGATGGTTAAACAAGCCACCTCAGCCTGAGCCATGGACCTGTCACACAGTGTGTATGTAAACAGAATGCATGTACACAGGTGTGACCAAGCTGAGCAATAAACATAAACCATGTACCAGTATCATATATGATTCCCCTCGCACAGCCCCACCACACTCACTGTTTCTATATACTCCGACTTATTATACAGCAGCTCACTCAGCTCCATTGCTCCTCCGGTCCGACGTCACATCCGGCGTGCCCGGGAGTCACGTGACCTGCTGCCACTGAGGTGTGGGCGTGACCGGAGGACGGGGAAACACGTGACTCCCGGGGAGAAGCGGCTTCGGAGTATGTAGCGTGTCATTAACGTTTGGTCACCCTGTGGTAGTGCTGTATGGAAGATTAGTGCAGAACTATAACTCCCAGCAGGTCCATCAGCCTGCGTTATTGTACAGCATGCTCAGTCGGCAATTTGGTTCCTGCCCCTTGACCTTTAATGCTTCTGTCATTCTTCCCTCAGGGTCTGTATATATAGTTAGTGCAGTGACTAACTATAGTATATGCAAAGGTCACTTTCTGTTAGGTTTGCAAAAAGTTAGGAAAGGTTAAAACTCCAGTCATGTGTTTTTTTTACTGTGTCCTATTGGGGGTGATTACCCTACACTTTCTGTGTCCCATTGGGGGGTGATTACCCTACACGTCCTGTGTCCCATTGGGGGGTGATTACCCTACACGTCCTGTGTTCCATTGGGGGGTGATTTACTTACTGTGTCCCATTGGAGGGGATTACCCTACACGTCCTGTGTCCCATTGGGGGGTGATTACCCTACACGTCCTGTGTCCCATTGGGGGGTGATTTACTTATGGTGTCCCATTGGAGGGGATTACCCTACATGTCCTGTGTCCCATTGGGGGGTGATTTACCTACACGTCCTGTGTCCCATTGGGGGGTGATTACCCTACACGTCCTGTGTCCCATTGGGGGGTGATTACTCTACACGTCCTGTGGCCCCTAGGGGGGTGATTTACCTACACGTCCTGTGTCCCAGTTGATTTACCTTCACTTCCTTTGCTGGGGGACACAGCAGGAAGTTACACATCTCTTCAAAGCAAGAGAAATCGCCTTTTAGGCAGTTGTCACCTGGACAGGTGTCCCCATTGGAACAACTCATCTCACCTCTTGTTCTGGTTACAACTGTTTATGTGAAGGGTGGCCTTGTTTCGCCCTAGCAAAACAATCACCGACACCCCCCTCCAGCCCAAACAATTGCATGGGGGCATTCATTATTGGGCGGGGGTGTCAGTGATTTTTGCACTGGCGAACTGGGACTGTACCAAGCCCACGCACATTGCTAATGACAACCAGTTTGCCCATTAGCTTATGGTCCTGAGACTGTTGTCACCAGGACAAATAGCGGGTGACTTTCCCCAATTGGGACACAGATATCAATAAAAACCTGACGAAGGTTCTGATCCTTCCACACTCAATCCAAACTTTAAAAACAGGCTCCCGGCAGCTATCTTTGATATGTGCACCTACGACTCTTAAGAAGGACATGACCTGCTCATCCTGGAAAACATGACCCCTCCATCTTTATGCTGCAGAGCGGCAATGTGCAGGACTTGGACAGAAGTGCCAGGCCTGTAGTCCTCATCGGGACTTGTCATCCTTGGGTGACACTGACAACGTTGCTTCTGCATTTATAAATCATCCTCCCATTCTTGCCCCTAGATGGTCCGCTCTTCAGCTCCATCATTTGGGGAGAATGCCATGCGAACGGCGCTCGGCGGATGACTTTAAAGAAACCAAAGCTGTGGGTGTCCCGGTCATCCAGTCAACGTTTCTCGAAGGAGCCAGGCCGAGCGCTGCCAACTAGCTGCAGCCTCTGTTCAGGTGTTCTGAGAGCTGTGGGCATCGGCTGCCAGAATACAATAGCCGGCGACGGGATTCCCCATCTATGCTGTATAGTGTGCATGGGGGAATTGAGTGTTTTTCCAGCTTCCAGCCTAAGTGGGTTACAGTCCCAGTAGGCACGCTAAGCTTTTATTCTCATGGAATGCGAGGATCCGATCGGTCATCTCACCAGTTGCAGCGCCCAGACAGCCAAATGCAGACGTTCAGTTCAGTGATGGATAGTTTATGTTCCCGGTACAGCAGACACGGGCATTGTAGTGACAACTTAATTAGGAGTGTCAACACAATCCCTGCCATGAATTCACGTTGTGCACATAGATTGGTACCTTTTAAAGTGTTCTGGTGTTACCTTCTTCTCTCTTCTCTTTGTTTTTCAGCAAGAGATGGAAGCTGTGCAAGAGAAAAGTCTCACGCTGGAAGACAAGGCAAAGGTATTATGGCTCACCTATCTGTCCATATTTATTACAAGCATTAACGCCTATATCTGGGGAGGGGGAAGCTTCACTTGCTGTGGGGCTGCCCCCACACTGCAAGGGTTAAGTGTTACTCACGCAATCTTGTGAGCCGGCTGGCTCTTGGACCGGTCCCTGGAGCCTCGCCCCCCTCCCCCTCCGCTGCAGAGGTCTAAAGCCTGGTTCACACCTGGGCGTTTTACAGCGCGTTCCTACGCTCTGCAAAACGCTCAACATGTGAAAACCAATGATTGCCTATGGGCATGGTTCCCACCTGGGCGTTTTACAGCGCGTAGGAACGCGCTGCAAAACGCCCTACGCCCAAAGAAGTACAGGAGCTTCTTTGGGGCGTATTTGCAGCGCGTATCCATTGGGATACAGCCAGGTAACCCTCGGAAACGGGCGTTTGTCGCACTTTTTTTTTTACCGCGTACCGCGGTAAAAACGTGTGGCACGAAATGCGTGACAAACGCGCATATTTGATACGCCTAGGTGTGAACCCAGCCTAAGGATCCTTCTATACACACTGGGGGGAGTTTATCAAAACTGGAGCAGACAGAATCTGGAGCAGTTGCCCATGGCAACCAATCAGCATCTTCCTTCAGTTTGCTCAGGTAAGATTTGAAAATGAGACAGAGAATCTAAATGGTTGCAGTGCAAATCTGCTCCTGATTTTGTCTGCTCCAGTTTTGATAAATTCCCCCCATTGCATAGGACATGATGGAGCAGAGGGACATACCATTGCTGCGGAGAAGGAGACAGGCGCTGTCACAGCCAGTCGGCTTCCAGGAACGCTTGTAGTGCGGGGGTAGCCCCACTGCCAGGGTTAAGATTTTCCTTTCCCCGGAGTTCTTCCTTAACTGCTCATCAGTTTTACTTACCTCATCCCGCTGCCCTGGCAGTCTTGTCTCCCCTACACTTCGCTTTGTGGACTGTCCCTTGGTGTCATCATATATAATGCAGGGCTATTAACTCTGCATTGTGCATGATGATGTCAGCAGGTCTTACTGAAGAAGCAGAGTACTCGCCCAAATGCTCGGCATCGGCAACGATACTTGTATCGGTTTTGGTGCATCCCCAATTAAAGCAAACCGGTCGGTTTGCTTTGCCCTGCCTGCCCCAAGGAAACATTTGCTTTAGGGGTTGTAGATCTTACTAGTGAACATAGACATATTGGAGCTGCCAATGTTCACTCCTGGTCCTCTTCAAATTGCTTGGACAGGAACAATGGTCAACTTTAATTTCTTTGGGGAAAGGAAGTGAAGTATGTTGTCTCCACTGTGGCAGCGGTAATGTCTAATGATCAGTTCCGTGTAGGTTTCAATATTTTTTTTCTTAATAACATCCCACGTTTATCAAAAATTTTTTTTCGTTACAGCTTAAGCAAAGGCTAGCCCTGCTGAAAAAAGAATACAAGAGAACAGTTACTCGTTTACAGGTACTTGCTGATGTGTTAGAGTCATGATTGGGCAGAGTATATTAAGTGGTGCATTGCAGAGTTCTGTTTAGAGCTTTCAATGGTTAAAGTGACACTAAACACTAAAAATGCATTCAAGTACATTAACTATTAACAAAAATGTATCTTATTTGTATATCACTTGTCTGCAGATCCTGAAATCATCTCTGAAGTGGTGCGGACATTGTCCTTCCTTCTGGATGGTGGCTACTTTTGTTTCCCATGGTCCCTGTGTGTGTTGCAAAGTAGCCACCCGCTCCAAGCTCACTCCTGTGATGGACTACAATCTCATGTTTAGTTTACTAATTTGTATTGAGATTGTAGTCCATCATGGGAGTGAGCTTGGAGCAGAGGCTACATTACAACACACACAGGGACCATGAGGAACAAAATTAGCCCCCCTCCAGAAGGAAGGACAGTGTCGGCACCAATTCAGAGATGATTTGAGGAAATATTGATCCACACATGTTATCAAAGCCTCTTACACATAAACCAATTTGTGATTTATGTTTAAAGACCATTAAAGATTTATATTGTAAGTGGAATAACTGGAATTTGTCTGCTTGTGACAGAAATCAGAGAGAGCTGAAAGGGTGAAGATCCATGTCAAGGGACCCATTGAAGAGCAAAGTCAGGAATACATCGGGCAGGATCGTGTGCTGTTGTCAGCAGGTTGGCCATTTCTTGTTTGACTAAATTATATTTTTTGGGCTGGTAGTCAACAAAATAAATGATTAAGTAACCAAAAGGTTTGGAATTTAAAGAGTAACTTGAGGAATTAACAAAATGAACCTTTGCAGTGAGGCTACCTCTGCACTGCAAGGCTTAACTGCTCACTTTGGTCTATGGGCTGGATATACTCACTTGATCCTTGATCCGGCCTGGCCTCTGGAGCGGTCCCCAAAGCCTCTCCTCTCCAGTGCTCCTAATGTCTAATGCTGATCCATTCACCTGTGTTAGACATGAGGACGCCGAGGGGCATCCTTATGTAAAGGGGGACTCTGATGTGAAAGGGGGGGTTCTGATAGAAGGGGAAATTTCAGTTTTTGTGTGCAGTCCCACCTTAAAAATCCATCCAAGACCCCCTATCTCAGATAAGGGTTTGGTATAGATTTTGGAGGGACCACATGTCATTTTTTACATTTATATTTTCCACATCAACAGCTTTGCACATGTATCATATTTTTTTTTAAACTGCAGTTTGTGTACGTTAGAAAATGCAGGCGATGGTTACTGGTGTGATTTCTATCTAACTGATTACTCTGTTTTGAAGGTCTTGAAAACGTTACCAGCAATGCTCTAGATCTCGGGGAATTGCACAGAAAGTATGAGACCCCCTCAGCAGACAAGCTATGTGTCTCTAGTTTGGAGCCTGAAATTGTCAACAGTAACAGCAGGACCCCTCCGTGCTCCGGCGGTGAGAGCAGTGAACAAGAAGCTGAAGGAAACAGAGCTCACCAGTCTAGCCAAGTTTCCAGAAACCGGCTGAGGTTAAGCCGACCGGCGAGAAAAGTCTGTTTTTCTGAATCACCATCGCCAGGTGTATTTCGTGTCAGCAGTACTGTGAATGTCCTGGATGGAAAGGAAAGTACTTTAGATAAAAGTCTGTCACCAGTGTTCAATAAGCATCCTACAGATCATGCTCCTCTGAGACCAGACAATGCCACTGCTAGCTTTTGGTCAGAGGACACAAAGCCTGAAGACATTGCTCATGAGATCGTTGGTCCTTCTAATACTGCATTGTTCCGACTGGGGACAGCAGATAACTCACCCGGTGAAGTTAGGAGGAATTTTGACACTCTGCAGTCAGTTGGTGCAGAAATCACTACACCCAATGAACTGGTACAACATTGTGTGGAAAAGACAGAAACCACAGAGGAGCAGCCACTACCCACAGATGTAGCAGCAACACGCAATTCCAATTGTGCCCTTTTGGTCACACCGCTGCAAGTGCTTGTATTTGAAAACCGCACCGACCTGAAGACAACTTCTGAACCTAGTCCTCCCTTGTCTTCTCAAAACCAGACTCCGCCAAACCTTAAGATGCAGGCTGAAAGTACCGTAATAGAGGAAGGCCATAACCCACTCAGTTCCTGCACCCTGGTGGAGGGGCTGTTATTCCCGGTGGAATATTATGTCAGGACAACACGCCGCATGGCCAGCTGTCAGAGGAAAATTGATATTGATGCAGTAATAAACAGCCATCTTATCACAGGAAGAAAGGGATCGAGGGGAAGGCCACGCCGAAACAGCACATCTTCATCCACACCTATTAATACCAGTGATAAACTGTTTAATTCCCTGACGCCTCTAAGCCGTCCTTCTGTAAATAGTGCTGGAGTGGTTTCGCGATCCAGGCGTGGAAGAGGGCGGAAATCCTGTCCGGCTGTGCTATCGTCTGGTCTAAAAGATATATCTATTCAGCTTAAGTTTGGTGATGAGAGCAGCCTAACGCCCAGCGGCTCACAGAGTGAGAAAGAAAACTGTGAGGAGGCTTCGCCAAGCAAGTCACAGAGTGCTGCGAAGTGTCTTACTAATATAACTGATGGTTCCCAGATAAAAGAGATGGATGGATTTAGGATATTGCTGTCTGATAAGAAGGCATACAATCTTCGATCTCAGGACTCCGCTGTTTTGAATGTACGCACGTCAGCTAGTGATTTTGGTAGCTCTAAGGAAGCCAATGAACCTACAGGTAATTCAACTGACTGTAGGTGTTGTGTGTACATATATGGGGCTGGATAATTACTGGTGGAGGAAAAATACAGATGGAAATTGGGTACCAAGTTCACTGAATAAAGTATAGAGGTTCATGCTCGGGTGCTTAATGACCTAATCAATAGGTCAAGTGCTGACAGTCATCGCACGTGACATCACCTCACACGTGCGTGATGATGTCATCGAGCATGTGCGGCCATCTGATTGACACCTGCCAGCGGGCATTTTGGTGATGGACGCTGGCAGAGAGATAGGAGGTGGCATTCACCTGGCGGGTGAGGTATGTCGCCGGGTTCCCTCCTCTCTCTTGACACTGTCGGGCTCTCTGTGCATGACCGAATGACTGACTATTTAGGGGGGGTGACACCAAAAGGAGTGTTAGTCATTTTGGTGTCACCCCTGCAATGGTGTCACCCGGGTGTGGGCCGCACCCCCCTTGTGACGCCATTGGCACTAATTCAGAGATGATTTGAGGATCTGCAGCCGAGTGATACACACAAAAAATTACAATTTTGTTAATATCATGTATCCATTCCAGAGACAAGGCAGTCTGCTGCAAAACAGAAGTTCTGCCCAGCATGAGACGACATGAGGATTTAAAAGGAAGAGCAGCAAAGAGAAGGGAAACAACCATGGATTACAGTAAGGCGCACATTACAGTATTGTTTTATGTTAACAAATCTGAGGGTTTAATGTCACTTTAAGGTAAAGTTTCTAGTGGAAACATCTCTTGCTATGGGCAAGATTGATACAGTCTTTTCCATAGTGGCTTTTGTGTTTTCAGCAGTGTTACACAGGTACAGCTGGAGGTACTAGGTCATAGCAGATAGCTGCTTCTATAATGTATCTGATACGGGTACTCATTAATCTTACAACTCTTGTGTAAGGCACTTCTGCACATCTGGAAGTTTCAACTGGAGTTCTGCTTTAATCACTGGGGTACTAGAATCGGTCTAGAGCACATAGTGGAGCTGTTAGTTATTACAAAAATGTGTTTATTCGTATTTTGAAGATAATTTGTCTTTATTTTCTTGTTTCCATTCGTAATGCCTTCTCTGCAGGTTCGCCATTTCCTCGCTTCAGCGGGAAGGTCAGTCTTGACAATCTATCTCACCTCTTGAAAATTACAGACTTCCATTTGCCAGATGAGGACTTTGGCATTCTGAAGCTGGATAAGCTGAAATCAGCAAATCACCTGGAACCATTTACTCCCCATACATCCAGAGAGAGAGGAGAGTGCAGCCAGCATCCTAAGAATGACAGCAGCACATTGCCACCTACAGGTAGCTCAGCAGTGCTGCAGGAAGTGGATCTTAGGAGTTGTTCCCAAAAATCAGAGATCGCTTTAAAACTATTAGAAACTAATGAACACTGTACAGATGTTGATCATCCGCCTTGCAACAATGGAAGCATTTTGGGAAATGATATACAGCAATCAGCCGATGCGGTAGTATCGCCACATTCTCCTATAAGAGAGCCAACAAATGCATTGCTGTCACAAATGTCACCTGTTATAACTGAAGTCTTAGACTCCAAAGAAAAAACATCCCATTCTCCTACAAAAGACTTCTTGTGCAGCCCATCTCCCAATGAGAATCATAGTCGCACCATCTCTATTCTGGGAAGACTCCTTCCTGATGACGAAATATCCCCAACCATTCTTCTGAATCCTACTGGATCCTTAAATGATGGTGAAGTACAAGCTTGTATCCCTTTTACTGAAGTTTCAGGAGCTGCTGAATGTTTGGGGGCAAATCTTGACTCATGCAAAGGTTTGGAGTCCAATGATGTTCCCACAGATTCTCCCACAGAGTCAGAGATGCCTGGAAAGCTTTCCTCTCCTAAAGAACTGAACAGTACTGCGCTCTTCTTACCATCAGTATGTTCTGTCCCTCTAGAGAGTATAATTGATACTGTAGCTTCCTTCTGCACGCCAGGGCTTCCTTTTTTAGGTTCAACGCCGGCTGTTTTTTCTTCTCCACAAGGCAGCAAAACATTCGTTGTTTGCAGTCCGGTAGATGAGGGGCAGGAGAAAGCCCTTTGTTCAGAGGCCTGTGGTGGAGAAGGCCCTACATATATGCCACTGAGTTATTTGATTGCTACTGGAGATACAGAGGACACCAAGCCATGTCATGTTGTATTGGGACAAGACAATAACACAGTGGTTGAAGGTCATTGTGAAAATCTAGAGCATCAAGAGAAGAGCCTGCTATCAAAGACTGACAAAGATAGATCTGTTCTTGTAAGTTGATTGGACTATACGTGTGCATGGGTAGAGTGGAAGGAGCAAAGCTCATGCCTCCCTGCTGTTTGTAGACCTCTAGATCTGACTCAGTGTTAGACTTTTGCAGAGAGACCACTGCTTCCATGCTGGGAGCAAGGATATTTTTCTGCAGCATGCTGGCTAGAGGCAGGCTTTTCTACTCAGGTTGTGGCTGCTATCTAAAGAAAACAAAAATATAAGATTTTGAGCACCTTGAGGGGAATTTATCAAAACTGGAGCAGACAAAATCTGGAGCAGCTGTGCATCGCAACCAATGGGCTCCTATCTTTCATTTTCAAATCTTAACTGAAGAGAGAAGCTGATTGGTTACTATGGGCAACTGCTCCGGATCTGTCTGCTCCAGTTTTGATAAATTTCTCTCCTTTTGTTTGCAGCTGGTGCAATCTTGGCAAGGGCACATTTTAAGCTATGGTCACTAACACATTTGAAGCAATGCTTACATACTTGCTGCTCCATAAAGCTTGGTTGATTCATAAATAAAACATGGGAAAATGAATGTGTATTGCAGAGATTTACTGAATTTCTTTTTAAAATTATTATTTTGACCCAATATATCCTTTAAATAGAAACAAGGTTTCATGCATTGATAAGATTATTAATATTGAGCAAATCACTAAAAATATTATAGATTATAATCTCTCTTTTATATCAAATAAATAATTGATAATTAAATATAATCAGAGACGCGTCCACTAGAGCAGATTGTAATGGTCCATATAAGGGTTTGGAAGATGATCTTGCTGTGAGATGTGTAGATTTTCTCATGGCATTCCTTCTTATATGAGCCTTTTCTCTGAGATCGATGATAATGGAGTACATAAGGGTACATCATTGTGCACACAGTTACTTTTGAGATCAGGCTTCTTCATTTATAAGGCAGTATGACTGTCAGTAACCACTTCAGTTATTGGTGGATGCCACTCTGTCTTCCCCTCAGGTTACATCAGGAAGAGCTGCTAATGAAGATACAGAAGAGGGGATTGTATCAGGAGGTCAGCTACGACTGCTTTCGGAAGTAAAGGTCAGTACGCTGAAAATCCTGTCCCTTCTGGGCACTCTCTGATATGTTTTTTAGTGTATTTCAGCCATTTCCATTTCATTAACTATAAACCGCTAGGATCTCTCGGTTTGCCATGGGTACATTGAAGGGCAGCATCAGCCAGAAAGTGAAATGCACTGTTAAAGCAGAAAGAAACTGCATTAGCTGCCAAAAGATCAGTAAATGAATGCTTGTTATCCAGCTATCCTAGCTGCGCAGCTGCACAGCATAAAGAAGGATGACTACACTTTTTTGTTCAAATGCTGGCCTCTGGCCATTTTTCCCAATTCTGCCTGCATCTTGCAGTACTCTTCTTCACCACGAGATGCCCAGCTTCACTCAACCCGGAAGACTTAGAAAAGACTGAGTGCAGGGTGTCATGGCACGGCGCTCTACACCCACAGTGTGCTGATGTTATCACGTCCACACTGCTTTTTGCATCATCCAGGGCTGTTCGACTCTTGGAGATGATCGGAGAGGGCGAACCACCACGTTGTGTTTCCAGCCATAGAAAAAGGAGGCAGGGAGCCGAAAGTTGGACAACATCATTTTCTGTATTGTATGCATTAGTGAGATGTAAAATTTAGGGCTGGGGAAATTAACGATTAATTCCTCGATTAAACGTTTTGATCGAAAATGAAAAAACTCACCTCTCCGCCGGCTTTCGGGAGTCCCGTCGGAGATCCGGTGACGTCACGGACATCGACGTCACCGGACTCCTCCCCCCTTCCCTTCGTTAGCCGACGGAGCCACTTGGGCCGGTGAGTTTGCCCAAGAAGCACCAAGCTTCTGTCTTATCTTAAACATATATATATGCACTATGTGGCACTCCATTAACTCCCCCCCATCTCGCTCACAGAAATGTGCCCATTGAAATTTACTGATATTGTGTTGCAATCAGGTCCTTACATGAAATGGAATGGACAGGTGCTGCTACTTCAAATATTCAGCTAATACTTATGTTTAAATCACCCTTAGGGTTTTGCTGTTTGACTATACTATGTAAATACATTTGTAATCCAGCACGGCGGCCATATTGAGTGGGGCACGTGAGAATAATAACGTGCTGGATTAGTGTGATCCTAGTTTATTGTATTACTTCATTGCTGTGCTGTATGTGTATAGGCCAATGTAGTTGGATCTGTATGTGCATTATAATTAATCGATTAAAAAAATTTTTGAATAATCGAACACACTATAATACACTGTTATTGTTTTACCAGCCAAATGATTTGTGATTCTGCACAGATCATAATGTGATTTGCGCTCAGTTTCCACACTGCACAGCCAGATAGCTGACATACATAGATTCTGATTAAGCAATTCATCCACCTGGTTGTGCAGTTCAGTTTCCTGTTTCGCCCCCAAACTCCTCACTGGACATTTAGCATCACCACCTCCGTCCAGTGAGTAGATAGCACTGGAAACAGTCATGGTAAACCAGAAAGTAGCAGAGTGACTTCTGCTTCCTAGACCAGCTAGATACTAAATGGCTGTGCAAAATTACAAAACGTATGGCAAGTAATACAGTGAATGGATAAAGGTGGTACACCTTGCTATTAGTAAAACTGACAATAAATACATTCCTGAAGTGGGCAAGCTGCAGTGCTAGTAAAGTGATAATGGGTGAATAATGATACGACGCGCTAAAAATCCAATCTAAAAATGATTAGCGTGGTGTATCATTATTCACCCAAATAATACAGTAAACATTCATGTGTATCAATTTCAGTCATACATTTAGCTGTTTGTACGACATTAAACTTTAATGAAAAGCCTTGTGTTATGTTTGCAGGAGAGCTGTGGTGGTGGTGGTTGTGCAGTGGATCTGTGCTCTGTTTGGTGGGAGTTCTCTGACAGACCAGAGCTCTGCATTGTATCAGCAAGCGAATCCTCGGTTTGCCTTTGGAGACCTAAATCAGAGGTGGCTTGGGAATGTGCTCACATGTGGAGCTTTACAGAGGTAAGCTAGTGATAACCATAACCAGTGTATGTACTGTATGGCCAAAACTCTTTTTTGTTTTAGATGGAGAAAATAAGGGTTAATCCCCCGGTTTATTTATTGCTTTCTTTGGCCTGTTGGGTAGATTTGTTTTAAGTTCCTGTCCTGTAGACCCAATAGGAAGTGAGGGAGGAATTTCCCTGATGACTGTCGCTGTAAAATGTATTGCTATTCAAAGATTTACCCCCACCTCTTGTTCTGGTTAAAACTGTAACATTTTGACTTAGGATTTCCTATCCCATAGGGATAAATAAAGAGGGTGAATCTCTACAGCAGGCACACAGTCAGCAATAAAAACTTGGAAGAGGTTCTGATCCATCCCTACTCTGTCCAAAACTGATTTAAAAAAAAGGGAGGAGCAGGTCAGTCCAAGCATTTCTTTGGCAAGGCATTTAATACAGCACTTCTTTGGGAATTCTATGACATACCTAGGCCACCTGGCAGATATAAACCCAATATTATATCCTGTGTGTTCCCAAGGCCTTCTCTGAGTGGACCTGTCTGATACATTCCAGAAGAAGGCATCTTTATGATATTTCCAAACCACCCTAAATGGTGCCTCTCTCTCTATGTTCTGTGGTCCAGTGACTCTATCCCAAGATACCACGATGCTGCAAATATTATAACGGAGAGTAAGCCCAGTTGTCTTACTGAGGAACACCAGTTCCATCGCTTACACCTACAACCACATTATTTCTGCCTTTACCCATGCCTTGCATACATAGATAAGGGAAAGAAATAAGATAAGCTAGTAAACCACAAGCCCGGTATAAATGCTAAATAATGAGTATGTGCCCTGTTTAGTGAATGTTGGGGTTGTGCAGGAACTATTCAGAATCCTATTTCCTCACCTCATCTCCTCCATGTGTACAACCTGCACTTCGATTACTTCAATAAAAGGCCTATGAGCAGTTTTTCCCAATGACAGGCTTTCTTATTGAAATCAATTGAGTTAAAGGGTTGCATTCAAAGGGAAGCAGGTGCAAGATTTTAAAGAGCTGTTCTGCAGCACAAAATAGGCTGCCCAGTGAGGATCAACAAGGATCTGAATATTAATGGTCTATTACAAAACTTTGGGGGTGGGGGTCCGGATACTTATTTTTTTTAATAACAATATTCAATCTACAAATGTGGTTGACCCCAGTCTGTGCCTGCTATGAGCGTAACTGGAAAGCTTCCATCCAGCCCTTAGACATGGCCACTATTTTGTTTCTTTAGCAAACAGCCAGGTGTCAGAATGAGTTTGTTCTTAAGGTTTCATGGAGGAGTTTTGCCTGAACTATGCGTGTTGCAATGTAGACTGCAGTAATAGAAAATGTCCTGAGGAAATAGACAGTTAGATAGGACAGGCTTCCTTTCATAGTGCTGGCATATTTTTTTCTTAATTTGGCTACATATTTTTAATTTTTAGATGCCTGTTATCGAGATACTTCCATTATCTCAGGAGAAGAATATTGTTTGCGTTGCTTTAGGAAATCTAGAAATCATGGAGATCTGGTAAGGACAAACTCTTAATCCTTTCAGACAACAGTAGTGGTTGTAGGACATAGCTAGCCGACGTTTAGGAAACAGTTTCTTGGGTAGTTAATCTAGGTACAGTTTTTTGGCATTACACTGACATGCATGCTCTAAGTACGACATTATAATACGGGCCTTCGCTTATCATACTACCTTACCTGATTATGTTAGAGTAAGAGATCTAATTATACTCCTTATAACAGATTATATCTGTATTATCCATTGTGCAATTGTTGTCTTGATTTCTGGTTGGGCACAGGGCTTTATTCTCATCCCCGGAAAGGCTTGGCTGGGAAAAGCAGCTGGTCAAACGTGGGCACATGAAAACGGCCCAGGGTCTGTCGAGGCACCGTCTGGTCAGCAGTGGCATTGGAGAAGATGGCCAGGTGGTGGAAGTGCAGCAGTTGTCAGAGACAGGAAGGTAAGGACAAATATTTAAAGTAGAGTTGCCCCAAAATAACATTTTTAGACTGAAACAGAAATTTCAAAATTTGTCAGGCTGAAACCAAAAATAACTTTTTTTCCCCCAACATTTTTAAAATTTACAAAATGATTTTAATTGTTTTTTACTTTACTGTTAGCAGCTTTGGGGAAATTTGGACATAGTAAATATTTACTATCTGGTCACTTTATGAATGAACAGGAAGCACCTGAGTACAGAGGCTTCCTGTCCATTCATGACTGGTTTGATAGTAAATATATCACTTCCTGTTCATTCATAACTGGGTACATAGTAATCACTAGGTCAGGGGTCAGCAACCTTAAACACTCAAAGAGCCATTTGGACCCGTTTCCCACAGAAAAGAAAACACCGAGAGCCACAAAACCCTTTTGCCATCTAAAATGAAGATAACACTGCATATATCGTTTTTTTACCTTTTATGCTATGTATAGTTCTGGGCTTAGTAATGCTCTGGGCTTAGTAATGCACTGGACTCTGGGCTTAGTAATGCACTGGGCTTAGTAGTGCACTGGACCCTGGGCTTAGTAGTGCACTGGACCCTGGGCTTAGTAATGCACTGGACTCTGGGCTTAGTAGTGCACTGGACTCTGGGCTTAGTAACGCACTGGAATCTGGGCTTAGTAACGCACCCCCCACCACCACTCACAGCCAGCATCCCAGCCAGACGATGTGCACTGCAGGGGGCGCCTGTTACTAGGGACGTGGCTGGGAGAGGAGGTGAGTCACAAGACCCGCCCCCTTACTGAGAAGCCCGTCGTCAGTGCGGGGCCCTAGGACCCTGCACTGCTGCATATTCCACCAGGGGGGGTGCCCAAGACCGGACCTTACTGGGCCCCCCCACAGCTTCAGGCCCGAGGCCCCAGGAGTAGTTCCGCCCCTGGACAGGGAGCCGCAGCAGAGCGATGAAAGAGCCACATGCGGCTCCGGAGCCGCAGGTTTCTGACCCCTGCACTAGGTCCTTAGTTATTTACATACGCTGAGTGAACATCACTGATCGATCAGTGTTTGTTCTCCGCGCTCCATCCTGACTGCTCTGCTCCTGCCCGCCTATCACCGTAGCTGAGCTCTTCTCCCCGCACTGCCCCACTCGGCCTCCTTACAGCTTCTCTCCTCCCCACTGGGCACCAGTAGCTAGATCAGCTCTGTGTCCCCTCCGATGCCCGCTGCCTCTGCCGACATGGGCTGGGGAGAGCAGCAGGGATTGGAGAGGACACAGATGGAAGCTTGCAGCCGGCACCCAGTGGGGAGGAGAGAACCCAGGGATGCACTGCATTTTCTGCCATTTTTTGTACTATCGGCATTCTGCCCATAGTATCATTTTCAGATGAAATTTCAGTGCATCCCTAATATAAAGCGAACCTTGCAGTAAATTGCAAGGTCAAATGTAAAATATTCACAGACCCCTAACCTTTTACAAATTACCTACTGTTAGTAGGTGTACAATGTACTGCATAAAAGTAGATTTTATACTTGCCTTATGCCAAGGCAAGTATTTACTGCAAGGTCTGCTTTAAGTCTGTTCTGGTAATGCTTTTGGATTTTTTTAAATACATTTAAAGTGACATTAAACCCTCAGATTTTTTAACATAAACCAATACTGTAATGTGTGCCTTACTGTAATCCATGGTAGTTTTGCTGCTCTTCCTTTTAAATCCTCATGTCTTCTCATGCTGGGGGAGAACTTCCCTTTGCAGCTGAGTGCCTCTTCCTGTAGTGCTGGCTCAGATTACAAGCCTATACAAACGGATACACAGACACCGTGTATCCATTCCTGAGACAAGGCAGTCTGCTGCAAAACAGAAGTAGAAGAAGAGAACAGATACAGATTTAAAAGGAAGAGCAGCAAAGAGAAGAGAAACAACCATGGATTACAGTAAGGCGCACATTACAGTATTGTTTTATGTTAAAAAATCTGAGAGTTTAATGTCACTTTAAGTAACAAAGATTCTTTAATAATATGTAAAGTGAACCAGTCACATTTTGGTATTGGTGGAACAAGCAAGTACCCAGTTTTGTCGCCTGTACACTTGAGGTTTGCTAGTTTGAGGTAGCAAATTATTTGGACCCAGGGATACACCAACAGTTTGGTGGCTGATAAAAAAAAATGTTCCATCAGCTCGTGATCTGTGGCTGCTCATAGCCTATATCCCCCATGATTCTTTACTGGAGGCATTCTAGCCCAATCACAGAAAATTATCGGAGTTCTCATGTTGTGCTGTGTTGTACTACATTATTTGTGGACTTGTGTTTCTGCAGTTCAGTGGATTCCCTTTCATTGGTGCCTCCCAGAGACAGTGTTCTGGCATTCTGTGAAGTGGAAGGAGAGAAGAATGCTCTGGTCGGATCCACCATGGATGCTTACGTGGTTGTCTGGTAAGCCCGGCCTTTGTTGTTACTGTTACCTACAACAGTGCTTGCCTTCCATTTGTAGTGCCCTTGGACCATCTACATTAATCAATGTACTTATCTTGGCAAGGATTCTGAACTGACCGCAGGACACTAATATAAGTAACTTTAGGTGCTTACACACGCTTGTATCTACAAAGCTCCCTGGTGCTCAGAAAAGCCAGGTCAATGTGTCTGTGAAAAGTAGCCATTGTGCTGTGGCCAGTGCTTTTCCACATCCCATGCCTCTGTAAATGCCACAACAAATAATGGTCAGTCTCATAGACCAATAGGTAGGTGAGGCTAGCTTGACCTTGAGTGTTCTGGCTTCTGCAAATAGAACAACCCATTTGTTTTGGGAAGAGGGTGAGCTATCAGGGCTCAGATGTAGAAAACATCCAAAGATGTAGAATGCCGCCATTTATAATGAACACTTGTTTATAATTTATAAAGCATATTTGGGCTAAGCGCAAAGTGCAGTTACCAACAGCAACCACACGGGAGTCTTCCTTCATTCTCTACTGCTTATTTCTGTTGGTTGCTGACCTTTGTATTTCATCATAGCTATTTTTGCTCTACTAAATAGGGTGACATTAGTTGTACAGTATGTCATTATTGACTGTTTTGTGTTGTAGGAATACCATCACTGGACACCTCCTGAGTTCGGTCTGCATGGGTGACCACTGCTCCGACCTCACCTGTCTCAGCGTAACATCCGACTCTGTGAGCCACATCTTCTTCTTTTTCTCTTTTAATCACTAATTATTTAACGAAACTGTGTTTTAGAGCTTTTTTCCTCATGTTCTACTGTCAATGTCTGCCCTTTATTTCTGGAGATGACACTGTACCTCTCCTCCTTTCTCAGGGTTTGTTGTTTTTGGTTGTCGGGAGTCTGTTCAGCAAACCTTGTGTGGATGCAGGCAGCTGCATATTCAAGCTGATCGCCGTCAATCCGCTAGGAGGAGCCAGCACTCCCATTATGTCTTATGTCATTCCGAATAAACCTGGTAGCAGGTAGGTGGTTAACATCGAGATTTGTTGGCCTACATTGCAGCTGATCTATCAACTAACCTTCTCAAGCTGTAAAAGACACTGAGGCTTCTTATGTATTGATACAAGATTACTCAGTGCCGAGAGGCACTAGTTTAACAATTCAAAACACTATTTGTTGTATCATATGTTACTACAGGTGGTAAATTATTATTTTTTTATCAATCTAGATATCTGGAAGCAGATGTTAAAAGACAAAAGGCAGCTGCAGTATTGACCTGTGGAAGCATAGCACTTTGGGATTTACCCAGAAGCCGTTGCAGCGTTACACTTCCCCCTAGCTTGGACGCACCATGGTGTCTTGTACGGTGGAGCCACAGTCCATCCTGCTTACTGATTGGAAAGATTGATGGAACCATTTGCATCTATGAATATACAGAGCCCTACTCAAATAAGGAAAGTTGACAGCAGAGAAGTCATATAGGGGAAGATTGTGCCATCACAAGCTTTGAACAGTGAAATGAACCCAAATATTTAGCAGTGCATCGTCTTTGCCAACAATGATCACCTTCGGTGTGTTTGAAAGAAAAATCGTTTATGTTGCTAATGCAGCCGATCAGATGATATTATTTACTAACCTGTGCTGGAAGACTAAGAAGTGGAAGCTGAGATTTGATGTGAAAGAAGAATGTCTGTTCATTAGGTACTGGTGGTACTACAGGGTACCCCTGTGCCTGATGATGTCATTCGTTTTTTTTGTGAACAGATAGGTTAAGAATGTGCAAGCATCCCAGAGAGGCTGACATGACCTCCCAGATCTAACCCACATCAATAGCTCTGAAAATCCTACAAGCTAAAGTGATTTTGATTTTCTTGTTTAAACTGTAAAGTGCCTGTAAAGGTAATGACAAATAACAAAAAGTTGTGGTATAACGTGCACGTGTGGCCTTTTCTCCAAAGGCCCTATTAGAGAAGATGTCTTCCTGCAGGCAGGGTCGTCCCATTAATGAGACACTTGGCATCTCATTGGGTCATGGGGGTGGGGGATAGGTGTGCTTGCTGCTTCCTTTCCGGTCATAACGTCCCAGATTGCTAAGAGCACTTAGCAACCTGTGACTCTTTGGCCGGCATCCCACCCAGCTCACTTACATCACTGGTTGCCAGGAGCTGAGTGGTACACTTGCTAGCGTCCCGCCCAGCTCCTGGCAACCAGTGACTTCAGTGTGCTGGGCAGGATGCCATGCACCTCGATCAAACCCCCCCCCCCTTTCATCTCCCCCTGAACTCCCCGGCCTCAGGTGGCGGGACAACTTGGGATGCCCCTGGCTGCAGGCTTGCAAGTGACTGGTTTCTCCATTAGGGCCTATGGAGAAAAATACAGTTTAGATATTATGCAAGCAATAAAATACATGTTAAATAGACCCGGCTAAGGATTGTTATAATGCATCTGGTGCCTTGGGCTTGGTACAGTACTGATGCCATTTGAAGCCAATACTTTCAGCTCTAGTGCGGTAAGCCCAGGGTTTCAGAGGGTTTGTTGACATCAGCCTGTGCATGTTATGTTGCATTGTTATGTAACGTATGGTGTAAACAGGGCACATAGAGATTATTTGCTTTCTACATGCCCTTGCATTAAGCTTGCATTGATCTATGTAGCTCAACCCCCCTGCTATGAGCAAGCACTTAAGTTTAACATTTTAGGGGGTTACGTGTTTTCTGGGTTTAAAGAAAACCTGTATTAAGGCACTAAATGTCTATGGAGATGATTTATAAATGTTCTGCCCAGCCATATACTAGAGGAATGCCGCTCCCATGGCATTGCTGCTATGAGATGGAGCTAAGGAGCATAGGAAATGAATATGCTCCTCGGCTCCATCTAGTGGCGGGAAGCCCCTGTGAATGGCTTGGCGAAACAGGGTATGGCTTGGCGAAACATTTATAAATCATCCCCTATGTATCAGGGGTGTTTGAGATAAAGTAATAGTATCAAAGTGCACTGCGCTAAAAAAAATGTGAACAGTTTTAAAATTCCATATGAGAATGTGCAGATCATAAAATCAACAGTGTATCTCCATATATTAATACAAATCAATTAGGAAACATTCACTGTATCTTTCACTCTTGTGATGAATCAATAAATAACTATACAAGCCCACTCTTAGTGAAATACTGTGTAATGTCCTTTTATACAGCTATAAATCGGTGTCCAAAATGCAATACGTTCAGAAAATGTGCATCTCATACAATAGTGGTGCCACGCATCAAAGTGCTCCATGCTGCTGTGTAAAAAAAATGTACCCCTTTGTGATTAAATCAAAGGAAGGGTCCGCACTCACCAGATTTTATTGACCTCTTATAAAGGTTATATAACGATTAGTGCGGTCTCTGTTTCTCAGCTTTTGCTTCTGATGGCTCTCCATATTACCAGCAAGATTTCCAAAATGCTCCGTTTATCTCCTTTTTAGATGTTTCTTTGGTGGAGGTCTTTGTACAGATTCCAGGCTGCTCTGAGCAGTGTGACGGTCGAGGGACAAACCGAGCTTCTTCTTTAACCCTTTGATAGGACAGTGTTCAAATCTGATTTATTAATGCTGAGATTACAAAGAGCCACTTGCGGCGCACGCTGGTGACATTTCGGTGACAACCCGGGTTCTGATTGGCCTTGTGAGCCTAAACCGTCACCAGCGTGCGCTAGAAGTGGCTCTTTGTAATCTCATCAGTAATAAACCTGATTTGAACACTGTCCTATCAAAGGGTTAAAGAAGAAGCATTGTATGTTTATGAGAAGAAGCTCGGTTTGTCCCTCGACTTTCCCTTTCATACTGCTCAGAGCAGCCTGGAATCTGTGCAAAGACCTCCACCAAAGAAACATCTAAAAAGGAGATAAATAGAGCGTTTTGGAAATCCTTGCTGGTAATATGGTGAGGTATCAGAAGAGAAGCTGAGAAACAGAGACCGCACTAAGCGTTATATAACCTTCATAAGAGGTCAATAAAATCTGGTGAGTGCGGACACTTCCTTTGATTTCAGTTATGTAGGCGATCCCACTGACCGAAAATGCCCCAACTTCCTATTGGGGGGGGGGGGTGCTGAAATGACAACGGATGGCGCTGCTGGATCAGGTAAACAAAACAGTAAGTTACCAGCACTCCAAAGGTTCACCAAGCAAAGTTCCTTTTATTCCATGTGTACAGTAACATCACCAAGTGTAGCAACGTTTCGGAACGCATCCGGTTCCTTCAGGTAAAACAAAGTGATACATGTGCAATGTAGTGCTCACGATATATACAATGTGACAATTGTTGTTTTTTTTGCCTGCACTTATGTCAATATTGCGAGCACTACATTGCACATGTATCACTTTGTTTTGTCTGATGAAGGAACCGGATGCGTTCCGAAACGTTGCTACACTTGGTGATGTTACTGTACACATGGAATAAAAGGAATTTTGATTGGTGAACCTTTGGAGTGCTGGTGACTTACTGTCTTCCTTTGATTTAATCACAAAGGGGGTATATTGTTTTACACAGCAGCATGGAGCACTTTGATGAGTGGCACCACTATTGTGTGAGATGTACATTATCTGAACGTATTGCATTTCGGACACAGATTAATAGCTGTATAAAAGGACATTACACGTGTAAGAGTGGACTTGTATAGTTATTTATTGATTTATCACAAGGGTGATAGATACAGTGAATGTTTCCTCATTTATTTGTATTATTATATGGAGATACACTGTTGATTTTATGATCTGCACATTCTCATATGCAATCTTAAAACTGTTCACATTTTTTTTAAGCGCGGTGCACTTTGTTACCATCATCACACAGTGTTTTTAAAACAAAATGATTTCAAACAGCAGCTTTTTTGGTCTTTTCCATAGCACAGGTCCTTTGACAATAATATATTTGAGATAAAGTGACCCACACAAATGCAATCTTCTTCATAAACACTAGTGTGTTAAAAAAGAAAAAAGTGAGAAACACTGTTCTAGACCAAAGAGCTGAGTAGCAATACTATTTTCAATGTACTGTATTGTTAATAATTAGTTAAAACATTCTATTGTATGGATATTTTCAAAGTATATGTAGAAGTTTATTAAAATAATAATTAAAATGTTTTTTTTTTTACAATGGTGATTGTTTATTTGAATTTCTCCCTACTTCACCTCTCGGGAGATATGCTTTCTGGAATGTAGACTGAACCGTTATTTATAGGACATAAGCATTTTATATAAAGGTCACAAGCTGTAGTACTTTAATGGGAACTGTTAGGAATCAGTTAAAGTATACTTAGCCTGATGCAATTTTTAAATCCCCCAAATTAAGGGCTAATTCACACTTCTGCTTTGTGCTAATTGCATGGTATCCATGCTTATAGCGCATGCTATTGCACCTAGCGTGGTACTGTGCACTGGTGCGTTGCATTGCCATTGATTTTCAATGGCACTTCCCAGCAGCGCTATATCCTTCCTGTAATACCTTGTGTTACTTTTTTACAACGCACAGTATTCCAGTACCTTGCACTGCAATGCACAGCCATTGGTAGGTGCTATGGATGCCATTTAGAATCAATGGCAATGCAATGCACCCACGCACGGTATCACATTTTAGGTGCTCTGTGTGATAACTATGCTAAATACACAAATACAAAGAGTGATTGGTGCAAAACAGCAGTGAGATTGGGACCTTAATCCAGATCCTCTCATTGGTCTACAGAAAAACTTCTGCTTTCTGCTACCATGGGCTACTCTGCTCTGAGATCCAGGCCCTCCTAGTTCTGCAAGAGGCATCGTCTCACTTTTAATTAATACTGTCCAGCTTTGCAGCCTTGAAAAAAATGTAGCTGTGCTCTGCATATGTCCAGCATACTCCACAAACTTTATTGACCTAGATCAGTCTTTATCTTTTTTTTATTTATCCCAAAGTAATAATTTTCAGGTCTTAGGGGAACCCCTGCTACAGCCAATTTTATTGGAGTCAGTGAGAGGAATGCCCCCCTCCTCTACCTTACAATGGTGGTCAGAATGCCACCCTTACACACAGGCAGGCTAAAGAAAATATTGGTATCATGCAGCTGGCTCTGCCAAATGGCCTTGTCCCTGGAATTATGCAGGCGCCATCAAATGGGACATCAGTCAGCCACAGCTCAAGGAATCCCTAAACCCCTGTTTGAGAATGGCTGATCTAGATGGTCAAGACAAGACCCTGCTTGGATCCTCCCATCTTACCCTCTCTAGTTACCAGCATGTCCCTTGTTAGCACATGAACCCTGCAGCACAACTGATTGGCTCCTTGCATTGGTACTCTCTCTCCTCGTCTGTGTTCTGCTGTACACGAGTAACAAAAGGCTGATACCAGGTTAAATTCAGGAATTTACACTGCTTGCATTAAAACACTGTAATGTGACACTAAACTCAGGAGTTAAATCTTCAAAATGCATTCAAGTACCTTAACTATTAACAAAAATGTATCTTATTTGTGTATCACTCGGCTGTAGATCCTCAAATAATCTCTGAATTGGTGCTGACACTGTCCTTCCTTCTGGAGGGGGGCTACTTTTGTTCCCCTTGGTCCCTGTGTGTGTTATAAACTAGTCACCGCTCCAGGCTCGCACCCGGGATGGACTACAATCTCAATACAGATAAGTAAACTAAACATGAGATTGTAGTCCATCACAGGAGTGAGCTTGAAGCGATGACTACTTTACAACACCCACGGGGAGCAAAAGTAGCCCCCCTCCAGAAAGGACAGTGTCAGCACCAATTCAGAGATGATTTGAGGATCTACAGCCGAGTGATACACAAATAAGATACATTTTTGTTAATAGTTCAGGTATTTGAATGCATTTTGAAGATTTAACTCCTGAGTTTAGTGACAGTTTAAGGTAAACCTGTTTTTGCCTAACATGTACCTAAGGTAAGAGCACTGAAGTAGGACCTGTTTGTGTTTAATTTGATTCCCATGGCATCACTTGGATCCTAAGCACAGGGGCCTAACTTCTGAGTCAAGTTTAATGTACTCTCCTCCTTCTTTCATTCAGCTGTCAAATGTTGAGACCTCAGTGGGTAGTACAGGCTCTAGCATTTCACATTTAAATTGTAGGCACGGGATTAAGCATAAGTGCACTTGTCACGTTGACGCAGCCTAAATGATATCACCACTCCTTTCCTCTCCGTGCACAAATGCATATTTACAGTTCAGTTCAGATAGGCAATTTTAAGATTTAACTCCTGAGTTTAGTGTCACTGTAAGCTTTAGTTCTACTTCAGGTTATTATTAAGCTTAGTTAGCATGCTACATACATCTGCAGTGTAACTGTCAGCATCATTTTAAAGCTGCATTCCAGGCAGATCTAAAATACACAAATCACGCAGTTCTTTATTCATAAACACGTTATCAAATGTATATTTTTTTTGTGCTGTATCTCTGCTGGGATGATTTTGTCTCCATGGCCATTAAGGAAGTGAGGGAAATATTTGCCATCGGGATTCCAGCAATACGAAGTTGGTAGAATGAAATCATTTGGCTAGAGTTCCGCTTCGATCCAAGGAACAGTGATGTGCAGTAACTCATCACAACCGATGGGTAAATACAGGGCCGGCCTTAGGGGTGTGGCAACAAGGGCGCCGTGCGGCCGTCACAGCTCGTCCTGTGGGCGGCTTCTCTCCCCCTCACCGCTGGCCATCCGATATGACAGCGCTCCCTCTACACACCCCCCCCCCCCCCCCCCCCAACAGTAAAAAATAAATAAATAATAAAAAAAGCATACAAAATATGGAAAGGAAAAAAATATATAAAAAATAATTTTTAAAAAGTGAAAACTGTCCCCCCTCCCCCACACACACATATTATTAGACAAGTGCGAAGACTAAAAATTCATTTCAGATGAAATGAACGAAAACTAAAAAAGTTTTCATTTGTTTCATCAAACAAAACACATTAAATGCTATTTTGTATTCAGCCATTGGCGTGTTCTGGAGGCAGGGCGCATGACGTCATATACCGCACGTGCTGGGCGCCGCCATCTTGGTGTATATCTAGGTATACACCAAGATGGTGGGGCCAATATCGGCGTGTGAGGTCACCTGACGCCATGCATGCATGGCGTCATGTAACGTCATGCTCCCTGCCTCCAAGATGGTGGTACGCATTCACAGAACATGCTGGTGGCCAACATGGCCGCCGCACATTCTCAAACAAATTATTATTATGTGTCTGAATACATTTCTCGTATATTTGAACATATAGTAATAAATTCATTTACATGTAGCCCGGGGTCTGTGTTCTGTTTTTTATTTTTACTTTTCTAGATGCACTTACTTGAAAAAAGGGATCGGCATGACATCCTGACACTTTATTTTTATAGACTCTATTGTAGTTTGACATTTATTGTTTACCTTCTGTTGTTTTATATGATAAGAATACTTATATTGTACCTACAAGTTTAATACCTTTGAATAAAAGTGTTATTTTTATCATACTTTTTAATATGTTTCTTTGCGGCTTAACAAAATAGGAGTCTTTAAATGGTGCGGATATTGGGGAAAATGGGTGTGGTTACGGGGGAGTGGCCACTAAAGGGTGTGGCCACTGTGGGGCGCTGTAAAGCTTTCTCGCACAGGGCGCCTAAAGGCCTAAGGCCGGCCCTGGGTAAATATACCACCTTGTTTGCTGCATAGGGCTCCAAAACAATACCAAAAAGTCCATTAGATGAAAGGGCCAAGCCGCTACATTCCTCCATCGGAGCCTGGGGTCCCAACCAAGGGTTGGTAAACGAGGGGTGGGCAACTTCGGCCCCCCAGCTAATGTGGAACTACAAGTCCCATGAGGCACTGCAAGACTGCCAGTTACAGGCATGACTCCCAGAGGCATGTTGGGATTTGTAGGTAAAGCACAACTGGAGGACTGGAGTTGCCTGCACCTTGCTTAAGTGCTGTGTTGGAGCTTACACAGGGTTAACTTCTTCCTTCTCACATGACATTGTTCAAGCCTGGGGATTGGCTGTTCAAACTTGAGCCCTGTCAGCAGGTCACATGGTCCCACATACCTCAAAGAATGTGGTGTGTTCTGAAAACTCCCAGCGCTGATGCACGTTGCACCCTTTCTTGCCCCCCTTACTTAACCCTACTCATTACAGCCCCATAGATTTGTCTCCCTCCATCTGCAGCCTCACAAAAGTATTTGAGGCTGTAGCTTGTAGAAAGCAAACAATTACCAGAGGCCTTGGCCATTGAATTTAGGTAAGTAGGCATCTGTAGAGGGGGGAGAGTATTTATGCTTTGTTATGCAATCTCTGAAGATGCTGAAAGAATCATTTGAAAAATAATGCTGAAATAAAGGGGTTTTTTTTATAGAGGAAGGAAAATATCCTGGTCTCATTTTATGCTGAGAAAATATTCTGGCTCCTCTTTATAAACCACTAAGACCACAAATCAGACCAGTTTGTCTGTAACTTGCAGCCAGTTTACACCCCACCCTCTCTGCCAGCTCTCAAAATGGCCACCGCTGGCTGCACCTTCTTCACGTGATCGCCCCCTTCCCAGTAGCCCCGCCCTACGTGCACCTCGTGAGCGCACGCTGACGTAACACGTCGCCCTCGCAGAACTGACTGGAAGCCCCGTGAAGAAGGAGAAGAAGAGAGCGGACGACGACGGTCTCTCCGCTGTTCGGGTTTGTGGAGGAGAAAACGGCGGCGGGACCGGCCGTGGACCCAGTGTGTGTTTATTCTCGTGGGCTCTGGCATCCTTCGAAGGACGGTGTGGACCGGTTTACCTCAAGCGCTGAGGGGGGCGGGAGCCTCCGGCCTGGGAGAACTAGGCCGCAGCCAGCCATTGTCTTGTGTGTGGTGGTGACAGCGAGGACGCCGGCGCCTGGAGGACGTTACGGACTGAACGGGGACCCGTGAGGACTGCTGTGGGGTTTTATTTGCTGCGGACTGTAGCGGGACGGACTGCCCTCAGCGGAGCTCTGTGTGGGACATTGGGACTGTGTGCTGGACTCTGTGTGAGGGAGGACGCCCCATGGCTCCTGCTGTTGTGTCCTCAGCATTTCCCACCGCCGCCATCCTCCTCCTGGGACTCTGCTGGTGTGCCTGAGGCGCCCCCTGTGTGTTTGTGTACGTGTGTGTGTGCGAGGCGTGTGCTGTGTGTGTCCTGTGTGTGTGTGTGTTCTCTCCCTAGCTCTGCCAATACCTTACAATTGTTAACATGTCCTGCGTGCATTATAAGTTTTCCTCCAAGCTCAACTATGATACAGTGACCTTCGATGGGATGCACATCTCCCTGGCCGACCTCAAGAAGCAGATCATGGGTCGGGAGAGGCTGAAGGCGGCCGACTGCGACCTGCAGATCACCAACGCACAGACGCAAGAAGGTAATCGGTCAACATTGTTGTGGGGTTTTCTTTGTGGTAGCTATATCATACATGTCACTTCTAAGCATGGGTTAAAGTAGACCTTTACCCCCCTTTGATTAAAAATCACATCAGCATACAGCTCTGCATGCTTATCTTGCATTCATTAGCTAAACATATATTTGTATTTCACTTATTTCTTTTTTTTGCCACTTCCTGGTGCACTATGGCACGAATGATGTAATCTGTGCCCAAGTGTTGCATCCTGGGAAGGTTACATCAGCAGAGCATTGCTGGGTAATCTCACAAGATCTCGGGGAAAGGCATTTTCCTCCCCTGAGATGATGTGCATGGTCACATGTTCCAGGAAGTAAAGGGAGATCTAGTAATCTGCCCTTATTTAAAATGGCCACTGCCAGAAGACTGAGGAAGAAAAGAAAAATAAGGTATGCAAAAAAAAGCCAGCAATTGTCTAAGTATGTGTTTGTAGAATGTCATTGCTAAACAGTTCTAAAGGTGTTTGTTATTTTGACGATCTGGGTAAAGGTCCACTTTGAGCTAGCCATACTCCGCTCAAATTGTGGGTGATTCCTGCAGAGCTGGAAGCCGCGCGTGGCCCTGTAAGTGCCATCAGGCTCAATAAGTTGACTTCAAAATAGAAGCCAGATGGAATATTGTCGGCTGAACGGTGACTGCGGTTTATTAGATGTAGTCACTGTTGGGGTATTCAGACAGTCATGGGTGCTGTTTCTGCCTCGATACAATAATGTATCCACTCTGTATAATGTGGCTAGGGGAATTGCGTGATTTCTCATTCAGCCCCATGGAAATGTATGGCTGGCCTAGTGAAACACTGAAATTAAAGCTAGCCATACTGAACTAGATTTTGGGCTGAGCAAGTCAAAGCATTTGATTTCCCCTATCCACATTAAACCGTATGGTTGGTTGAATTAACTTCCCCCTGCCAGATATTGTATTCGAACAGCCTGCAACTGTCTGAATACCTGAGCAGTGGTGATTTCTGATAGGATTCTGTCACCGTTCACCTGATAATTCTTTACCTGGCTCAGTCAGTTTGGTTAAAACATACTTTTGTGAAGCAGCAGAACCTGCCGAAATACGAACTGTGGGTGGCCAGCTTAAAGGTTGGCCATACATTATGTGATTTGTGATTGATTTGGGTAAGAGGGATTGCAAACAAGTGGTTTGTGGATCTATTAAATGATGCAGCACGCGTGGTATTTGCAGTGGACTATTGTTTGCAAATAAGATCTACCAGTTATACATGTAAACAATATATTTAAAATGCCTAAAGATTACACATTTATCAATGTGAAGTACGATCGGTTCTCTTACAGACAGATTTGATTGAACCCACACAGGATGGTGGAGTAATGTCTCTAGGGTGTCTCTAATGTATTTACCTTTCTTTTCCAATGTGTTTTGTTTTTGTTTTTTTGTGAGTTTATATGGAGATGGGAGGGCTAATTAATAATGGCTCAGCATTTTTTTGATGAAAGGGCCGCTTTAAGTTGATTGGCTTGTCATGATCAGATCTATCATTGCTTTCAGTCTACTTATGACCTGCAGCAATGGTATTGATACATTTGGCACGTCTGCGGTGTGGCTGGTTTTGGCTGTTGATCATATATCTTAGTTGGCCTTGTTGGGATTATTGTTAGGTCTGGAGTGTTTGGTGTTGTATAGATAACTATCGTTCCATTAGCTGTTCTCAAATCCATTCTCCCCAACACTGCTTATCTGGGAAATCTTTGGATCCTCTATCAGGATTTGATTGCAGTCTGTGCACCTGCTGGGGAGATTTCTTCTCACTCGCTGTTCTAGAGATACAATGGTGCCAGGCAAGCGGGAAGTGAGAGGGAGATTTCCCTAATGAGGTCCCAGATAATGTTAAAACACCCGACAGTGGTTTGAAGCCTTATTCACTCTTCTGGAAAAGTGTTTTTATTGCTGTTTTCCAGTTGCAGATATTTCGTCTTCAAAAATCTGACCTATAACCTCGCTCTGGTCTATCAAAAGATACTTTGAGAATCTGAATGCTGCTTAAAGTGACACTTAACTCCGGGTTTAAATCTCAAAAATCCATTCAAGTACCTTAACAAAAATGTATCTCTTGTGTCACCCGGCTGCAGATCCTCAGATCATCTCTGAATTGGTGCCGACACTGTCCTTCCGGAGGGGGGCTGCTTTTTGTTCCTCATGGTCCCTGTGCATGTTGTAAAGTAGTCACCGCTCCAAGATCGCTCCCGTGATGGACTACAATCTAATACAAATTTGTAAACTAAATGAGAGATTGTAGTCCATCATGGGAGAAAGCTTGGAGCCGTGACTACTTTAAAACACGCACAGGGACCATGACAGTATCGGGATGAAATCAGAGATGATTTGAGGATCTGAGTGATACTTGGATAAGATACATTTTTGTTAAAGTACTTGCATGGATTTTACGGTTTAACTCCTGAGTTTAGTGGTCACTTTAAGGTCATCCTGGCTTTGCTTAACATGTGCCTAAGGTAACAGCACTGAAGTAGGACATGTTTGTCTTTGATTCTTGTGGCACCATATGGATCCTAAGCACCGGGCCTCGACTTTTCTGAGTCCAGTTTAAGCCACACCCTGTGTGGATAGTACAGGCTCTAGCACTTCACAGTCCAATTATAGGCAGCGGATTAAGCTAAAAGGAGAACTATGAGGTGAGTGATTTTCACTCACCTCATAGTTCTAGCCGACCTCTGACAATGAGACTGTCACAGGTCGGCTCAGTAGATCGGGAGGTGAGCGAACACATACCGGCGTTGGCTCACCTCCCGAGTTCTGATGGGCCCAGCCTCGGTTGTTTACATCTTGCTGTGGATGTCTTCTATGGGGCTTGTCTACCTCTGTCTCTTGGCTGAGAGCCAGACCTACAGGAGTCCATTGGGATGTACTATGCAGGCATGGTCAAGAGAAGAAAATGTCCGCTGCAGGATGTAAATGAACAGAGACCCGGCCCTTCAGAACTCTTTAGTTTCTATCTGTGCGCGGAGAGGTAGCGTGACGTCGCCTTAAGGAGAAGTACACTTTGTTTTAAAGGTACTTGCAGAATGCAGCAAGGTGTCTGTTCTTCACTACAGTTGTTACTTTAGGTCCTTGGAGGCTGAATCAGGTTTGCTTTAATTTTGTGTGACATGGAATCAATCCTTAGTTTTTATTTTGGGCATATGTGTAAATTAGAAGTGGTTAACACCCATGCAGAAACTTATTTCCTGTTGACAGGTTTCTCTTAGTTTCAGTGATTCATGCACTAGAGAGATTTCACCATAGTGTGCGTCATACATAAATGATTTACAAGCTTATTCATGAACCAGTTTTGATTGCTTGTGTAAATTTATTTTTGTGGAAAGACTGTCATGTCCTCAGTGGTGTACAGCTAAGTTTGTAAGAGGATGTTTTCTTTTGGGTTTTTTAAGTGAATATACAGAAAAACTGTAACTTTAGAGTTCTCACGAGAGCGAAAAGTGAGAGGAAATCTTCCAGTGGGGACAAATGCTCTGAAGAGAAATGCCTGAGATGGGAATTCCTCTTATGTTGTCCACGATGGGAATTTCCCCTCCTTCCATTCACTTCCTCTTGCATCTCCCCAGCAAGACCCATACAGCAAAATGAAAACACAACTCTGTTTTAAATAAACATTTGTAGTATTTTGTTGGAGAAATATACGTTTCTGACTTTGGAATGCCTGTCTAATGTTGCTTTGGCTGGCCTAATTGAAATGATTTGGCACTTTTTTTAGATTTCATACCGTGTTTCCCCGAAAATAAGTCACTGTCTTATATTTTTTTTGCCCCAAAAAACCACACTAGGTCTTATTTTCAGGGGATGCCTTACTTTTATTTTTTAATGTGCAACAATCCAAAGTTATGTGGTATCACTCCACCTGTCACAGTAACTGGCGCTAGAGAAAGTATCTGCTAATACAGCTCTGCTCCCTCCGCCGCCGCAGCCTTGCTTTCTACAGCGCCGGCTTCCTTTGCCATCAGAGGCAGTGGTACCAGCGGTGCAGCAGTGGGGACATCAGACAGTGGACAGCGCGGTAAAGTACGGTACCATTTACCGGTACACATTACAATACAGTACCATTACATTAAGCAGTGCCTTCGGGGACAGCAGTTGGTGAAGTCTGGTACTGGAGTGCTCCCTGTCACTGCGCTGGCCGGAGGGAGTCCCCTGTCATCCCCTTATTACAGTATGTCCCTGCAGGTTGATACCATCTCTCCTGCTCTTCAAGTTCCCTCTCACATGCTACCACTAAACTAGGTCTTATTTTCGGGGTAGGTCTTATATTACAGGAATCTTTAAAAATAGTGCTAGGTCTTATTTTAGGGGGGACAGGGTACATGCAGAGATTTCGTATTTTTCCTAGCAATTTTTAAAAGCAAAAATGTTAAGCATTTGTTACACAACTTCAGCTTTTGCACCTGTATACCCCTTATGGTCTTGAAGTTTTTACATGTCTGTTACAAACCCTTTGGCAATAACGTCATTACTTAAAGGAGAACTTTGGGGTTAGGGCTTTTCGCCATAGTTCTCCTTAGGGTAACGGGAGGACACAAACTAGCGTACTCCCGTCACCCTAAGCTCATGTCTGGATCTGCCCAGCTGCGTGAGTGACACCAGTCAGCGCTGGAGGATCGGAGGGGGGAATCCAGCCTCTCCCCTGAAGTGAGGGCCGGCCGTTATGTGTTTGCTCACTTCCCTGTCTACTGAGCCGACCTGTGACAGTCTCGTTGTCACAGGTCGGCTAGAACTATGAGGTGAGTGAAAAGCACTCACCTCATAGTTCTCCTTTTTAAAGAATAACGTCATTACTTCCCTCTCTCACAAATTGTGAAAAAATGAATTTGCATCTCTCTCCCCCCCCTGCACTTTTGTGTCTGAAGTCTCCACCAGCCTTGTGTAAGGGACCATTTGGATTGCTCATAATGCTTGCAAATGGTGAGCCCTTATTGGTCAACATGGTCATTTGACCATGCTGACCTTTTGAGAAGTGCCTCTTCTCGGAACTTGTCCTCGGTCACTGCCTTATGCAGATTGAGGCTCACCACTTTGATAATGTAAATACAAAGTAACAGTGTTGCTTCGTATCTCTGAATTCCAAGTCGAAACTGTGTTCCGGAACACTGATCAGAAGGTCCATTTATTTATTTTCTTTACAACATTTGCTAGAGTTGGCTTCTGTATATGTACAGCAAGACCCAGCTTGCCTTTTGTAAAACCCTGTACAAAAAGTATAGGGGCCATTGCTGACCTGTAAGGAACGTTAGTTGCCTGGCATGTCAGGTTTTGTGAATCACTGATCTGGAACAAGTATGGTATGCAGATGAAGAGTTCCCTGATGCGTTTCAGCAAATGTGTGTGCGTTTTTGATTTGTTCCCGTGCTTTTTTTTTCTTCCAATTAGTTTTGCTTGGGTTTTAAGCGCATTCTGATGTTTTCGATTTTGGTGCATTCCAGAGAAAAAAATTCAGCGTGCTGCACTTTTTTTTTTTTTTAAACCTGTAAAGCTGTGAGGGTGAACTCGCCTCATTTTTGTCATTGGAAATAACCACTTAAAGTGACATTAAACCCTCAGATTTTTTTAACATAAACCAATACTGTAATGTGTGCCTTATTGTAATCCATGGTAGTTTCCCTTCTCTGTGCTGCTCTTCCTTTTAAATCCTCATGTCTTCACATGCTTGGGGAGAACTTCCCTTTGCAGCTGAGTGCCTCTTCCTGTAGTGCTGGCTCAGGTTGCAACGTACACACAGACACCATGTAACCATTTCAGAGACAAGGCAGTCTGCTGCAAAACAGAAGTTCTGCCCAGCATGAGAAGAGAGAAGGATTTAAAAGGAAGAGCAGCAAAGAGAAGGGAAACAACCATGGATTACAGTAAGGCTTCTGCGGTGACGTCACATGCCGCGCCCGCCAGCTAAAACGGGTCATGTGTGGAGCCCCGAACAGACTAACCTATCGATTGCCGACTAATCAACGATGGAAAACGTTGACAACGTTTTAATCTACGTAATTAACTGTTGCAGCTCTAGTGTGAACAAGCCCTAAGGAACCTCAAAAGTTAGGCCCCGGCTGAAATTTGTAGGGAGCATTGGTGACCTGGCTCCTGGGTTTAGTCCAGCCGTGCCCCAAGGCCCATTCACACTAGGCGACATGCAAATCGCGCGATTGTCATTTTGCGTGATATCGTCCAAATGATTGCATTGGACCTAGTGCAATCGCGCAACATCTGCGCTTAAAAGGTCCTGCTGTAGCGACATGCAACAGTGATGAGCACAGCTCCATTCACTTCCATTGGAGAGCAATATTGCGCGGAAATCCGTGCGATAAATCGCTCAGTGTGAATGGGGCCTGAAGGCTTTTAATATTGTGCTTATAGAACATGTCTGGTCATTTTTAGTGTGCGGGCTGGAAGCTGAGCTCTTGGGGTTTTTAACCGCAACAGTGAAAGGGGCCATTACAATGAAGTGGTATATAGAGTATAAAGAAATAGATGTCTTTGAAAAAACCTGTTTTTTCTTGATCACCTCAAATCAGTTGTGTACACTGCTAGAATTTTAGCAAATTTGTATAAATCCTTACATTCTTTTATTCTGTAAGTATTAACCTCTTCATGACTGATTTGGGGGGGTTTTACGTTATTTTCAGGCCTAAAATGTGGAATATAACATGGGTGCAAAAAATGAAAAAAGGGCCTCAGTCATGAAGGGGTTAAAGGCCATGCATGTGCTTTTAATGAAAGTGCGTACTATGAAAATGACTAGTATGTGACAGGAGATTGTTGCTATTACTGTGATTTCTGCAAATATACATGAAATGTGACATTCAAGGATTGCTGAGGTCTACAGTTGGTCATAATCAAGGTGTCCCTATTTGATAACCACGAGTTCCCACTACCCATTTCCCTTCTACTTACAGCTGCTGAAAAACTAACTAGTAACAGGATTTCATATTCCTCAGCTGTCCAGTTGTGGGGTTGTCACTTGGATGTTTAGATCTTCTTTCAGGGCTTGTACACATGTCTGGATCATGTCCAGACCAGAACAGTTTGTTCCTGGACCAAAAAAGCATCTCAATGTATCCCTATGATATTTCTGGGCTCTTTTCACACCAGCGCAGTCCGTTCCGGTCCAGACAAAAAATAAAATTGCTTGCTCTGGAATGCACTAGAATGCATGCAAATGCACTGGACTGCACCTAAAAGCCCACCTTAAGCTAAAAAAAAATTAAATAGCAGCAAAAAGGCTTTGTACTGTGTTTGCAGATCTGATCCAGACATGGTGTGAACAAGCCCTCAGATGTAGGTGAACATTTATTAAACATTGATTTTTGATTATGAAACAGAATTACAGTTCAGATGCACCCAAATAGCAGCTGTTTGTTAATCAGTCACTCATGAGTGTCCTTACCCAACTGCTTTCTTGTCTGATGGGAGTCTGGTCTAAAAGTGCTTAATATAATGAAGCCATTAAAGTGAGAGTAATGTCTAAATAGAACCCAGTGTCATGGATACATCCCCTCCCCCAGCACTTCTAGTTAGAACTTCCCTAGGCCTTCTAGATGTGTCCTGGGAGTCTGCCATCAGGCTTCTTCCACCTAAATCTATACGCACTTTTGGATATTTTGTGGAGCCACTGATGTATATGGTTTACTTAGACTTCAGGTCCTCTTTATAATGTTGTGATCATATCTTGGGTTAATGTGAAGAAATTCTTTATTTACCCCAAACAGAAATTATGATCTCGGTTAAGATTTTGGCTGCTTTTAGCAACTACATAGATCAAAAGTGCATGTTATCAAATTCAGTAGCGGGGTCTGGCAAATTTGTACATTCCAAACCTCTTGGGGGGGTGAAACAATAACTGCTAAAACTATTAACTTTTTTCCTTCTAGCTTTCATGTGAGACTGACATGATTTTATCATATTGCTTCTTTACAAAGAACAGAACTACCATGTCTTAAAGTCCCCCCCCC